CCACGTTAATAGAAATAAATGCTTTTTAAATGAAAGTCCCTATATTTTGAGATGTGCAACAAAAATGACGAATATGGAGTAGGTCACGAGTTTTCTGATAACTAGCCTATTGATTGGCTAAGTCTCTCCACAATAAATGCTCCCCTGCGTGTCATGTGAAGTACACGCGCAAATCGCGCGGCAAAGCGCGATCAAGAGTTCAACCCCCTTGATCAATGAGACAAAAGCTCTTAAAACTCGAACCTCATACATTTTTTATCTTTTTATGGAGGGTTTATGTGAGTATGGAGTATGGCTACTACTAAGAAATGCATGTTGAGAGAGAGACTGATGTGTTGAGAGTAGGACCATGATATGACATCATGCAAATATTTGTCTCATGGATCTTTGAGCTGAACTGAGCTGCTGAGCCTTTATCTAAAATAAAACGTGTCTGTAGATTCAAAGTCGAGAATGCGAGTCTTGCTCCTGGTCGTCTAGCTTATAGACAGAGCTTTAAAGAGTGCCCTCTCCATCTAGACTAGATCGCCTTTGGTGGTGGTTGTCCTTTGTGAAAAAAGGTGCTCGAGATCAACATTGATTTTCTAATATCGACAATCAAATCCCATGCTCTACGGAATTCACCAGTTTTTATTATCATTGACGTCGCCATGGTTTGGTGTTGCTGTCTTTTGAACATTTATCCCATGGGTGTTACGTTTGCAGCGGTGTTCAGGTGTTCCGAAAATGTGGCTACATATTCGTTATTCGAAAGGCCCAAATCTTTCCTGGATAGTCAACAGTGTCAGGGAGTGAAAGTGTTAAGGTTTGAACAATAACTTTACTTGGTTATAAGGAGTATACAAGAATCCCTTCCATTCACTTCACATCAGATGATTTTCACGCATTTGGGATAAGAAGCCAAATTGTTGAAAGTCCTTCAATTGACGCCATGGTATCTAATCCCACCCCCAATATTTCCACCCAGACACCATCCAATTGCTCCTCAAAATTCCACCGAAGTATACCAAATGAAACAAGATCCGCAATTTACATTGAAAACAAGAACGACAAAAGAGAAAACAAATTGCTCGACCAAAAAAACACAGAATTCAAACCAAAAAAGACATCCAAAACACCCCTCCCCATCAGACAACCAAGTGGTATCTAATCATCTCCCTCCCGTGATCCTCCGCCCATCATCCTCCATCCATCTCTTAGAGACTCCGAGGGCAATCAAACCCACACCTGCAACCCCAGAAATTCTCCCCCTCCCCCTCCCCATCCCCACAAGCACAACCCTTGCGTCCACCCGACGTCGTCCCATTATACTCAAACTTTGGGATGGCAAAAGTAAAAATTTGAGGAGGCTGAGCCCAGCCATTGATGGAGACGGACATGGGAGGGTTTTCCGACGTGACCGTCACGTATTGATCGGCAGCATTTGGGTTCCTGAAGCCACCGATAAGCCGACAATTGTTGTCGTAGAGACTAGCCTCGGACTCGAAATGTCCGTTGTGGTTGGAGTACTCTTGCCAGCCAAAAGTACAGGTCCCCGGACCTTGAGTCACGCACCGCTCGTTCTTGGTGCGTGCAGTGAATTCCACTGCTGGAGAGGCGGCGGCGAGTTTTTCTGCCAAGAGGAAAGTGGTGATGATGCTGATGAGCTTCATCGTTGTTGATTTTATAAATATATATATATAGATATATATATTGGTTTGGTTTGAGCTCGTTTGGTTGGAGGTGGTTTGCTTTGAGCTGGTTTGCTTTGGTAATGTTGGGGGGCTTTTTTTATATCAAGACTTGAGGATTGTTGTTTTGTCTGAAGAAAAAATCACAATAAGTGTGGGAAATCAAGACTTTATACCCAAATATCGGGAAAACCTCTAGTGAAAAAGTTTTTGGCACTTGTTTAGTACAAATACTGGTTGAAGCCTTCCAAGTATTATACTTCACTGGCACTTACTTATTTAGTGCAAATGCTGATTGAGGCCTTCCGAGTATTATACTTCACGCTAAAATAGTTCAAAACTGCAGCCCTAAAACCGTTGATCGCTCTAAAAAGTGGGGGTTGAGGTACTCGTAATTGAAAAAGATCAACGGGGGTGAAAGTGATTTGATATGAAGTTTCCCCGGTATAATATTCAGTCCTCATACCGCCGACTTCATCATATTCTATCCAAAAAAAAATCACCGGCCTTTCACAATCGAAAAGTTTCCTACCGGCCATACGGCGATAATAATAACGAAGAGGCACGCTATTAAACCAGTATCTCAAAATCATGTTAGGACATGAACTTTGTTATCTAGTGTCTGAATCAGTACTTACACTAGTTGAGATTAAGATTCGGATCCTATCTGTTATTACATATAGTATTGCAAAATCCAGTTTGGCGCAATTCAAAGTTGTTAAGACTACGGGTAAAAGTTTCCAACTTAATTAATCGTTTACCGAGAACTGGGTTGACTAGCACGTTTATGCCATCATTATCGGAGATTTCGGCACTAAGAGAGCTTAGTTGGCTTTGATTGATGATCCGTTGAAGAAGAAGTATATTTTACGATATCGGAGAGGACACCTGTTTACACGATTCGGGTGACCGGACAGAATCGGCAGATCCTGAGGAAGAGAAAAAAATAAGTATAGTTTACACAAGTCGGGTGACCGGATAGGATCGGCAGTTTACAGTATCGGGAAGAAAAAAGTTTTCAAGTTCATAGTTACGGCTCATGTTTTGTACCGTGTGTTGGAAAGCAACGATTTTGATTTCTATTCAATCTTCGGCGTCGGTTTATACGATCCGAAAATTCCTACCCACTCCTTCCCCTCGTAACTGCATAAGATAAACCCCTATCTACATAAAGCCATCCCTTTCTCATGAAAGAAACTGAACAGAGCCACCTAACCTCCACAAGGCCAAATTCTCTCCAGCTTTTCCTTCATGATCTCTTATCCTGCCTTGCCCTAACAAATACATTCAAACGGACAAATCTACGCATACTTCGCCTCTGGATCCGGAAGATCATCCTCCTTCAACGTACACGCATCCTCGGATCATTATTCACCGGATCATTATTCACCGACGGCCCACGCTCTCCAGAGGTTAATGCCTGCCCATCACTCTGATAAAGAGGCATGAAATACTCCTTATTTGTAGGTGCCCATTTCTGGTAAATCACCTCGTTCAATTTCACAATATTGCATGTTCGGAACTGGAAATACCAAGTAGTGGTAGGGGAGACGGTGGATGAAGAAGAACTCGAGTTGAGAAGGAGGCAGTTGGTGTCGATGATGGAGGATGTGGCATGGTCGTCGAAATATTGGTACACGTAGGTGCAGGTGTTGGCTCCATAGGCTGGATCCTATTGCGCGCAGAGTTGCGGGATGGGGTTCGGGGTCGGGGTGGGCTTTGGTTTCTTGTGAGGGGTGCAGGTGACGAGGGCTGAGAGGGCTATGGTGAGTATGATGGTGAGGTACTTCATGTTGTTGACAAGACGGTTGTTGTTGAAGCGATGTTTTGAATTGAGGTCTATAGGGGATGTTTATCGAGCGAGTTTGGTTGGATGTGGAGTTGAAAATGGGTCTTTGTGTCGAGGGTTTGACAGAGTAAGTATTTGTGAGTTGTGTGATGAAGCGATGTAACGTTGTTGATATTTTTTGTTGATGGATTTGCAGTGGTAAACCTTTTTGATGGGAAAGGATTGTGTACACAAGTGTTGTAGCGAGAGTGAGTCATTAGAATGACTGACACTCACATATGTCGCATATGACTGTTCATTGAAAGTTCAATGATCTATTTTGGGAATCGTGGAATAACTGTCAATTCACTTTAATCGCTTCCAACAGTTCTATTACAAGCTTCACGTTTTTTCAATGTTATCTACCCAGTGGGCAAGATGTTTGTCAGTCTTTGAATTCTGAATATGAAAAGTTTCGCATTTATTCTCCAATCCGATTCTCCTACGAAAATCATCCAATCCAACATTCGTATATCCAGCATATCTCCAATCTTCCCTTATCTCCATCCCTTAAACATACCCAACACTCTCAATAAGTCATACATCAGACGGGTCAACCCACCACTCCGCATTCGGACCCTCGCATGCAAAGGTACAACTATACACATTATAATACACCAGGACATGAACTACAACCTACCACCCGCAATGCTCGCTCCCCTCTACAAGAACATTCGTACCATACGTGAACTCGGGACGCCCATACCCATCAACTCCGTTCACGGAAAAAATTGAAAATCGCTTGGGTGGCTTGATGATGATGGGGTATTTCCCTTTCGTTTCTTGGATGACGTCGCTGCCATCGAAGTAGGTGCAGTTTTTTTGTCGAAGACTTTGGCGACGATGGGTGGGTTTGGAAGTCGGAAGTCGGAAGTCCTGAGGTGGCGTTGGGCTAGAATATAGTTAGGGTGCAGTTTTTGCCGTTGCTAGGGCAGAATGTACTGATGCCAGGAGGTCGCGCGCTTCTGATGAGAGATATGGGGAAAAGGAAGAGGATGGTGGGAAGGAGATGATGTGAAGATACATGATGGTTGTGCTTTCGAATATTGCTGTGAAGATCTGGTGCATTTGTTGTGCTTCGGGGTTCTTCTGCTTATTTTGGTAAAGTGACTTTATGATCGAATATTCAATGTGGATGAAAAGTCGATAAATCTTTGTGTGATGGGTCTAGATATCTTTCAACAATAACTTTGCAAGAATACCTAATATATTCGAACAGACATACTCAAGTGGTGAAGTGCCAGACACAGCTCGGTAGACAAGTTTAAATCATAGGTAGGTTGCCATTTACAAGTATCGTTACTGCCCATAGATCGTAATGTGACTTATCTTGTAGCCAGAAGATCATCCCTGATTCACAATCATCAAGTTCGATCAAACCTGTTGGGCGATTTTATGGTCATCCTACGCGAAACAGATACAAATTTCAAGTTGCCAAAAATTGTTGTTTTGTATAGTCTCGCGTTTATCAATCTCCCTATCCAGAATTTACAATTCCTAGTCTATTTATACCCAGTCCTCCTCAGAGCCCAATAAGCAACATACCAACTCTCTATTGAACACTAACACTCGAAATGACATGTATATTCAAAATTCTTACTAGAAGATGTTAAGTTTCACCTATGTTTGGTCAATAACAACGCATTATGGATAATCATAACTTTTCATCATTCATGATCTTCAATCAAATTACTAATCAAAGTTTATAGAGTTTTGAGGCATCAAGTTTACAAAGTTTGTCCTTGAGGAGTCAGATTGAGAGTTTCTTTCGATAACAAAAAGTGTTTCTCTTCTTCAACTTGATCTTCCCAAAACATAATCCAAACACAAAATATTCTGAACCTCACAAGATCTCGGATATTCCTTCCTACTCTCAAAACTTCCTGTGCTCGAACGAAACAAACAATATCCAGTAAATAAAGTAACCAAAGTAGAAAGATATGAGATTCCTCACCACCACCCTTCCCACCACCCTTCCCACCACTCTTCCCATCACCATCCCATACATCTCCCTCGCCACAAGTATACCAGCACCCACCGTGCAAATTCCTCCCCCAGATCCAGATTGCCTTAGCAACAACGGCATCGACTGCACCATATTCATAGGCTAATAGCCCGTAACCTCTCAAGGTCTGGCCGACATATCGCAACCCATCGACGTCAAAATCTTCGACAGAAGTTGCGCCACAATTCCCCAAGAAACGAATTAGGCTGTACCCAAAATACCAATTCTCATTACGTCCAAAGGATTATCAGATGATATCACGGTGTATGGAATGGACGGTTATGGACCTATGGTCGCCCGGTGTTTGTGTTTGGTAAGAAGGGAAGGAGGGGGGTGATTAGTGTGGTTATTCGACTTATGGGCATAGAAACTTAACATCTTCTATACCAAATTAACGAAGAATACTCAAGACTTGTCATAGGAGAACCTCTCAACTCTTGTAACTCCTGGAATCAAGTATTTTGTGGTTATAAAAGTCCTACATCAGCAGAACCACTACCCAAAGGGACAGAAAGAATCAACTCAATTAGTTAAACACACATAGCACCGTCACTCCAGACCAGAAGAATATCATCATGAAAACAGCATCCTCATTATGCATATCCACCACCTCACATTCTTCACTAACCTTCTATATTACCATTATCATCACCCTCCTCATCACCTCCTGACCATCAACCCCCGGTCTGTAATATCAGCATCAGATCCCCCCTAAGCCAGAATGGAAGTACATCCATTCTTACACCATGACCTGTTTACTCTCCCTCTTCTCTCCACTGAACGCTACTAATATTCAACCAAAAGTTCAAATCTCATGCTCCCAAGTAGATGACATCCTCCTCGTTGACCAAGAATGGATATTGATATTATCAGACATGAATCAACTCAGCATATTAATACCACAAGAAAGGAAATGTATCACCAACGCCCAAGGAGAAAGTTCGTGACATTGTGAACATATCAAACCTAATGATTTGAAGACTGACAAGTAATAAGAATTGGAAATTTATACACAATCTCCCCAAGACTTCTATTCATTCTACCCAAAGAGTAACAAACCGACAGATAAATCCCCCAATTCATAAATCCAAATCTATCTCAACTCTCATCAAACTAAACCCACTATGAGGTATCATACTATAACAACGATGAGATATTTCCAGAGAATGATTATATCAGATGCATTAATTATATGGATTTGGCTCTTTTATATATATCATTACCCAATTAAAATATCTGTACCTAATTTTCAACTCTTTCCCTTCGTTATCTTACGATGTTGGGGATAGAAAATTAGAAATTTGTGAACAAGGTATGAATACCTGTTTACTCCACAAGCACCCATAAACCCGGAAGGCACTGGTGTTATTCCCTGTCCTCGATTATTATGATGCCATGAAGTTCTGTTCCTGTTCCTTTGGTTGTAATATGGAAGATTAATCTCTACCTATCTACCTTGTCAAATTTCAACGACCAAAGATGAATGGACTGCGCCCAGACACTTTCGAACGATGAATGGCAGTATGGGTGGGTAAGTGAATATTATACCAGAAGTTCTTGGGCCATGTTTTGTAGGAATAATAAAAGATCGATTGGGGTTTGGTTGATACCTGATGGTCTGTCATGGCTTTTTCAATCTGAATCTCTTATGGACCCGATTAAGACTCCATATACTCGAGTATTGCTGGTGGTCAATTTTGAAAACAGACGCAGGTGGCTGGGAAGTCTATTCTGCGTTGTCTTGTATTGACTCGAATTCTAAGTGAGTAGAAAATGGGAATCTTGTACCTCGGGAATCTATCTGCAGCCGTTGAACCTACGGCTAGTATTCGAATGATGTATGCATCGAAGCGAATGATTTGTTGTCTTTGTCTTGGAGTCAGAACGCTGAAGCACATTGAAATAATAGTGTCAAAGATGTAAACCCTTACTGTTATATATTGCATCAATATATGAAGACATCGAGTACAGTACAGACAGGTATTTGGATCTCTGATACTGATGGTCGGCAGAACGTCGGTAAATATATATAAGAAAATTATTTCTGTACAAGTGAAATTTTTGGCAGATTGAGGATTCAACATGGTGTAGCCTTTTGACTGTTGAATAAATATGTAATATTATATATGAACAGGATGCAGATGATCCCTAGTTGTAGTGGCGTTGGATGTGAACATAGAGCTTGCGATATGAGCTGAGTGACGACTTTGCTCAGCGGAATTCAAACAAACACTCCTAAGATTCCTGTAAGGTTACATCACCGAAAAGACTTCTATAATTCACACAAAGCTATCACTTATCCAAAAACCAACCGACTACCGATATTCATCGCCTTGAGCGAAACGTCCCTTATTCTCTTTACGACCCTCGGTAGCTAACGCCAATATATATCTATTTAATAAAATTCGAATCACATGATTAATCTTAGGCACTTTGGCGGAGTGGTTAACGCGATGCCCTGCTACTGTATACATAGAGTCAGGCATTTCCCTCGGGAGCGTGTGTTCGAATCACACAGGTGTCGTTTTGATATTTTGGATGATTAGTCTTTCGATTAATTTTGGCTCCCTCGTCTCTCTTTTCCATAATCTCGTCTCCCCTGAAACAGTTGATTGGATCCTTTCATTTGAGGCATACGGAGTATACCCTGGATAAGTGGAGATTTGCGGATAAGTGCATTGGATGATGTGCACATGGATCATCAAAATGAGGGCAAAGATCCTGGGACCTGAGTTAGAAAATCAGAAGCGAAGGAATATAATACAGTATTAGTAGTACTACGAGCATATAAAATTTTGAAGGAGTAGAATAAGAAAAGATATTTTATACAAAAAGGTCCAGTCGGAAGACATCGATCAACGAGAGCTCAAGGAGCCAAGCTATATATTCGACACCCACTAAATTGAGAACGATGCAAACGCCATGAAATCTCATATGCTTCTTTCAAGTGAATCGCATAAGACAACGGCTTTCTCACATTGTGATCTCCACAGTGTCAATACCATACATATATTCAACCAAGTCCAACAACTGCAACGCATCAAAACTCCAGGTTTGGGAAAGTGATGATATCGTCTTCTCACAGCCCGACGAGTATTCACTACTCGAGTACTATTCCTAGGCCTATTACACTTTTCGTTCTATTCAACGTCTTCGGGTTTTGTACAAAACAGACAATATACCGGTATGCAATGATGAAGTATTGCGGCTACCCCTCTTAATGTTTCTTATTCGCATAATTTCTACAACGAGGGAGTCTTGATCCTTGAATTTGGTTGAGAATTTGGAATTGTTTGATGTATTCGGATCACTTCAATCGTTGAGACTCGAGCTGGTATATTGAATACGTTGGAAATGTTAGATGTATTGGAATTCGAAGTCACATTCGAATCTCACAGCTCCTCGGACTATGAAGTACAGTCTGGACCATTGCAAATGCTGGTGCTACTTTCTCCCTTGTGAGAAGCAGACGCGAGGAGATTGTGCTGAAATTTTGACGATGTTGTGGCTACTGTACATTTTTCTAGTGATGATTTACAGTTACTGCGTGGCGACGTGGCTAGGTAATTTCAGGGAATATTTCTCATTCACCAAGAACTCTACTCTCAGGTGAAAAATCGTTGGATTCTGGGTCTAGTCTTACTCTCATGAACACGAAATGAGGATGCCTTAGTAGCGTATTCCTGTGTATATCAATTATGTCTTCGAGTGACTCGGGAGGATTTCAAGAAGGGTTTCTCTGGAACTGCACAAAGTTTTACGGCCGAGCAAGCTATGCTTTGAGTGAGATATAGTTCAAGAAGACCTGAACAGCACTATTTGGAAACGTGAGTTACATTGCCAGTGTAAATGAAGAATCATATAAAAATAGATTTATCTGAAAGATACACTTAAATCAGACGGTTCGCACTTAACTGGGGATATAAGCACTTCGACGGGAAACATGTATTGAATAGCCTGGATAGGTTCGCCAGAAATAAGTGGGCTGCAGGAGAAAATTTTACCATGAAGAAAAAGACTTTCATTGATTGGGAAGGGGAAAATGAACATTGCTCGGGCTATGCGCTGTAGAGACAGATATCCCTATCTGACATGGTGGCGTTGAGCTTTCACGAAGAAGCTGCAGGTGCAATTGATTGACCTCTAGCTGATGAAGTCAGAATGTTAGCTATATCTTATGCCTCACCTAGTTTTCTCTGAAGTTATCAACACTGCATATTCAATGGAATTCGAATGAAGAGATCCTTTCTTAAGGTCGAGAAATCGAAGACTATTAGCACAGGTGCGATTACATTCTCCATGGTCCAAACACAAAACTTGGAAGATATGAAAGGAAATGCAGGAAGGAGGACGACGACTCTTTCGCTTGTGTATGGAAACAGACCGGAAGCTGGTAATTTGCTGTCATGGATTGAGCTTGAGATTGCTTTCGAAGTTTTCGAGAGAACTGTGCAGCATGATAGATTTTGAATGATTCTCATATATATCTAGCCGCTTGTAAAGAACAATCAGGTTTTCAAGAGGGCCGTGAAATGAAAGATCTGCTACTCGACGATGAATGTTGTCAAGTTAATTCTTAGTCACGAGTTTGAATTTATACTTCAAGTCATCTATTCTTTTAAGGCGTCTGCGGATTTGTCAGACAAAGAAGCAGTGCAGTACAACCTGGTAATCTTCCACGGTTACATTGTCGTGTGACAATCAAATGCATGTGACACAGCTCAAGTGCGCCTTCCATTCTTGATGATGCTCACAGGTAGGACAGCATCAAAGCAGGGTACTTGCTCTGCGACTTCTTCATCATTCGCTGAATGATAAGATAGTGTAAGACTGTGACAATCGCTCTATCTTCTGCAAATGAACCTTCAAAATTCGATCACAATTCAAATTCACGATTTGATACCGCAGTACCTCACCGTCTTTGACACACTACATAAATTTTATGACATCTGTCAGTTCTCTATACTTCAGCCGTTGGAAGTGCATTTACGTTTGCATTTGCATTTGCAAGTGTAAGATGTCCTATGATTACCAGCTTAAAAGCCAGGGATGGCTTGGGATATGCATGCTTCTACCGACCGCATTACCAATGGCAGGTTGGCTGATCAAGGCTTTCTTAACATTGATTACAAAAGGTTCTCTTAGTTACAGACTGTGCCCTCCTATATGGCTGCCGGTATTGACAGCGGTAAGAAACTTTCACAACTTCTTCTGCATGTAATAGCTCTATACTGACGGAAACAATGTTACATTCAGATTCATTGGCTTGTTTGGTATCGTTTATATTTGCATCCATTGGCAGGATACCCCGGTCCCAAGCTTGCCTCCATTACCGACTGGTACAGTGTATATCATTGTCTTAAGCGCGACCGCCACTTGAATGAATATCGACTTCATAAGATATATGGTATGTATCTATCTGATTTACAGTTGCTAATTTCCTTAAGCATCATTTACTTAGACTAGGACTAGGACCTATCGTACGGGTTGGACCAAATCGACTGGCTTTTAACAGTACCACCTCCCTTCAAGATATTTACGGCCCCGCAGCCAACACTCAAAAGTCCGATGTTTACACCATATATCAATACTGGTTTAAAGTCCCATCTATCGTCACTACCATTGACAAGAATGCACATGCATTCAAAAGACGTCTCATGGTAAAAGCGCTAAGTTCACAGGCTGTTCAAGGGTTACAAGATGTAATATATCACAATAGTGAACGATTCTCCAACTATCTACGAAGAGGTAAAGTTGAGAAAGTACCTGCAGGTGAATGGACGCTAGCACATGATATTTCGAAAGCCACAACGTATTTACAGGCTGATATGATGGGGGATGTGACATTTAGTCGCAATTGGGGAATGTTAACTGATGAAAGAAATCATCATATTCCAGTCATCGTGTCGGAAGGGGCACTCGCAATGAACACGGTATGAAAATTCACCGAACCATTCATCTGTAAATACTAACCAACTTCGAAACACTAGCTCGGACACATGCGTAGTATTGAAAGACTTGGTCTGCAAAAATTGATCCCTCCATTTCTCCTCCGCGGTATGAAGGAATTCTTCGCTCTGAGTAAATCTCAATCCGACTGGCGTATGCATCAAGGGCCGAATTTCCCTCGCCAAGATCTATTTGCTACACTTCTCGAAGCACAGGATCAAGAGACTGGACAGAAACTAGCCCAAGAACAATTGATCTCTGAAGCCGGTCTTCTCATTATTGCTGGCATGGACACAACTGCAACAGCACTATCTGCAACAATATTCTATCTTCTTCATTACCCACTAATATTTGAGGTACTGAAGAGGGAAATTAGGGGCATGTGGAAAGAAGTAGAGGAAATCAGGGTGGGCAAGCAGTTGAATGAATTTAGATATCTCACGGCATGTATAGATGAGGCGTTACGACTTTCTCCTCCAGTACCAGGAAATATACCCCGGGAGGTATTGAATGGCGGGGCTACAATCGATGGTCAATATGTTCCAGCTGGAATTACTGTTGGGGTCTCTGCATATAGTATTCATCACCAAGAGAGATATTTTGATAATCCATTCATATATCAGCCGGAGCGCTGGCTAGAAGACGGAGGTTACAACGATGAAGACAAGGAAGATACTAATAGCATTAAAAGGTTTGATCAAGCGGCATTCACACCATTTGGATTCGGAAGAACAAGTTGCATTGGGAAATATTTGGCATATCAAGAAATGAAGGTAGTATTGGCAAGATTGATTTGGGCATTCGATATGAGGTTGAGTATGCAAAAGGGAGTGGGGCTGGGAGAGGGAAGAAAGGGAATGGGAAGAGGGAGGGAGAGGAAAGAGGAGTTTCAAATTTGGGATCAATTTGTTAGTTGGCACGAGGGTCCTATGGTAGAGTTTAGGTTGAGGAGTGAGAGTGAGAGTGAGGGTGAGGGTGAGAGTGAGGGTGAGGGTGAGGGTGAGAGCGAGATCAACAAAGAGGGGTTGTGAAATATGAAATTGATGCGCGGGATAAATTCATGGAATTTGAGTTCTGGGAAGGGTCAAGGGCAAGGGGACTGGTTAGGTGACGCTTTGAGTAGAAGATAAATGCTCTCCGATTCCGTAACTTATTCTTTATTTTGTATAGAGACTAGACTTCTCCTCATTTCACTGGACATACAGTAACCGATGGGAAAACTTCTTCGGTTTGATATTGACACTATCATCATGATTTGTCACGGTAATGCTGAGTTATAGATCAGGTACCGGCCGGGTACACGACAACACTGCGATGCGAGTAAGTATATCATGATATCTAGAATTATCCTAAAACGAATAGCTATATATCCGAATCTATTCTCCGAATTTGAAGATTACAACCTTTGTTCGATGGCGGGAGGATGTTCGAGGTGTATCCACGTGATAGATTCCTACTAATCTAATTCGCACTTCTTGTGTGTTGTTGGATGAACCGGCATTATATTCTATTTTACTGGACTATCTATTAATTTCATATGTAAGTAACTCGAAGTAGAACAAACTCTCATTTATGTTTTGATCACGAGATCTGGGTAGGAAGGAAGGGACGCATTGGTAGAGCGGCACTCACAAGCGGCAGATTTGTCGGTTTCAATTCCGCACGATCTTCAACACTACAAACACACAAATACGACAAAAGCTTGAAGATTCACTTGGTGGAGGCGAAGCAATTAATATCTTTCAGAAAGTCAGATATAATTCCAAAAATCCTTGAGTCGATTCATGCCTCCACCGGTACCTATGTCATATTGCACCAGATCCAGCATGCATAGCGGCAATGGCAATCTCGTCTGAGGTCTGTGAGGAGATAGAACCGATAAATATCGAATGGTGGTGTGAGAATCCCATTGCGAATCTGGACAACTACATTCAATATAGGGTGTCGATCACAATAGCGTACACAGTCCCCTCAGGTGTGACAAGCCATGCTACTTGTCGTACGTAGTCTGTCTTCCAAAGACCGTCTGTACTTTTTATACGCTCGATCGCCAATCTTTTCAGATGGTGTAGTACGATCAGATGTGTTGATGGAGGCGGCGGCTGACAGTTACTACATGACGAGAGGAATGAAAGTACCAAATACACGCCACCAGAAAGATATCTTCCCGCCCAACTTTCGTTTTATTCATATGAACATCCGGAAATCTGGGGGGCCATTCCTTGTTCACTACACGATCCACCTCAGGGATATTAGCATGACACTGCTTGCGGTGAGAACCGTCCAGACTGCGGCGTATGATGCATTGTTGATCTCGTGGCTTTGCAAGCTCCACGGAATCAAATGAATCTAGAAGAGAACAAACAAGGAAGAAGATTGGGACTTGATGCGGGTAAGAATCTGGGGGTGGAGAAACTCCACAGTTTGTTACTCCACAGTATGAGTACGGTAGTGTATGGGGAAGTTTGACGGATGACAACAATTGCGGACAGGAAGTCGAAAATACCATATCGCTCGGTATTATGATAACAACTCTCGTGAGCTGTTTCTTTCGGCGAAATCACGAAGTCTCGAGGAAACATTGAGGAACTTTATATAAACCTCTGTCACCTTAATGATTCAATTTCCGAGATAATCGATATTCGGTGTCAGTCAATACCGTAGCATTCTCCTGTGGCTTTGTACTCCAATACGCCTTTCCAGCGAACCAATAGCAAAGCGCTCACACTCCCGGGTGACTCAAAATTTGGTTTAAGGTCCGCGTATTTTCCCCGCATTCTTGGCTTCCCCTTATCAAAGGCATAATTTCAAAGTTATATGATTTCTATGTGTGCTTCCACTTGATAGGAAAACTGATCGTACGACGTAAAACCTACCATATTTATGAAAATGGGACGATTCCCACATGCCATGCTGGCATTGTACGATGAGAATTTCAACTGGCAGCACAACTCTTGAATAGTTATCGGGCTCTGATAGATAATCATAGCCAGCGGCTCACACAGAGGGAATAAGTGGCAATCATATGTTCGATGCAATCTGGAGGAAGTGTTTCTGACAAGATACGCGGTTTGAGCAAGTTGCTATACCCATATGGATCCAAGCGCTCGTTCCTTAGTTAGCTCTACACCAATCACATCTTAGCCCAACAAGTTTCATCACAGACCTGCCTACTACTCGATAGACCCAAGGGCTTTAGTGTTCACCCACTAATCCAGATATAGACAGCTTCTCTCAAATCCGCAAGAGCTTTAAAGTTTGAGCTCTTTTGTGCGCTGATCTTAAAGAATCCGAGGGTCCGAAGGCGAGCTTCTCGACGAGTGCGGAGATGATTTGGTACATGTGAAATATGTACATAATGCTCGACTGCCCATATTCCGAAAATGAGTTTGTACTGTCTCATTATTTTTGCTTGCATCAATCAAGTATCATTTACTCTTATTCTATCGATTGATATTCTCCTGTTTTCCTAAACTATATCCAGCATGGCGACGGAGCTAAACCCCCAGGCAAACTCAAGTGGTATCCCACTGGAAAAGGATTTTTCGCAGAATGGCAATCACTACGGAGACGGTAGCAATTCACATCATATGAACGATATATCAATGGCTTCCGACGATGCATTAAAAAGGATCAGGACAGCTGGTAGTATCAGTATCAGTCCGGAGCTCTTTGAGAAAATCTATCTTTCTCCCCAAAACGCCGTGAAAGGTGATTTAAGAAAAACCTTCGGAAATCCTACTCCAGTGTATGTTTTAATCCTGTAACTTTATCGTCTTTTGAAGCTCACGAGGTGGGCAGCGCAATCGTCGGTTTCCTCATCTCTTTATCGCCGTTATCGTGTGATCTCATGGGATGGCGTGGAGCAGGTGGTAATGGTGCGGCTGGAATGTATGTCTCGATCCTCTCTCACTGATCCTACCTTGATAACCACTTACCCATCTATCCCAGCGGCTCTTATTTCTTCTTCGGTGGACTCCTCATGATGGTCGGTGGCTTCCTTGAGTTTATTCTCGGCAACACATTTCCCTTTGTGGTCTTCGTCTCCTTCGGTGCCTTCTGGCTTACATTTGCCTCGACCCTCCAACCTTTCTACTACGCCTACGGTCTCTACGCTCCTCCCGGCGGTACTCCAGCCGATGGTCTCACAACCGTTGGCTTCAACGCCTCCTTTGGATTCTTCCTTGTTTTCATGGGTGTCCTCTGTCTCATCTTTCTCGTCTGTTCCCTACGCACAAACGTCGTCTTCGTCGTAATCTTCTTCACACTGCTCCTCGCCTTTGCACTTCTCTCCGCAGTCTATTGGCACACGGCAAATAGCATCGGCAATGCCGATCCAGCCGAATTGGCGCTAGCGGGTAGACTTACGGTTGCGGCTGGTGCATGTATTTTCGTAACATCAATGGCGGGCTGGTGGATCTTCTTTGCTATTATGCTGGCAGCGCTCGATTTCCCATTTCAAATACCGGTGGGCGATTTGAGTACCTTGATTAAGGGCGCGAGTGAGAGACAAAAGTTGAAAGAACAAATGGTGTAAAAGAGGTGCGGATGCGGGGTTCTACATACATACCTACATACTTTACAGGTACCTGCATCTATGAGACTCGTCTTGTGACAATACGGTAGGTAATCTTACAATGATTAAGAAGATTAAAATTTCGTGGGGAGAATAGATGGATGGATGGATGGATGGGTGAGTGGGTGGAATATTGGTGGCTTTCTTTTTGGTGACTGGTGATGGGCGTTGGTGTTGGGGTTGGTGTTGGGGTTTATGTCCTGACGCGTTTATATTGTAGTTCTTCCTTGGGTTGGGCTTGATTTGTTTGATATGGTATGGTATAGCTACATCATGCGCGTTCTATCACTGGCATCTTCATCTTCATTGTTCATGTAAGTGTAAGTGTAAGATAGTGGGTAGACTATGAGTATACTTTACTGTACTGTGAATAGTAAGTCAATGGCTGTGTATATATATTTGTTTGTTTTTTTAATTGGCGTTTTTAGCAATTCCAATGTTCATCTGCTGTTCATAGTTTAGTTTATTGCTAGTGTAAGAGTATAGTATAATGTTATATACCATTTGAATTGAGTTTGAGGAGGCTTTTTTGAGTTAGTGGGTGAGTGAGTGAGTGAGTGAGTGTGATGTGATGCTGTATAGTATAGTACAAATACTTTCCATCGAGACCTCAAACCTTCATCTTTAAATCTTCTTATACAAATATTCATTCTACTATTCGTATACTCGTATACTTTAATAAACTCTACTTTACTCTTAGTCCCTAGGAAAACCATATTATATAATATTATTTTAATCTCATCATCTATCTCATCATCTCATCATCTTATAACTCATATCATATCTTATATTATATCTTACTCGAGTATAATATACACGGACGTATAATATATAGACCGATATAAACTTTTTTAACAAAATACCGGTAATCGTTTATTGATATTAATTTGAGGTATGGTATTTGTATTATATTATAGTGTATGTATAAGATTGTCAGAAGCGTATGTAGATTATATTCAGGTACAGAATCTAAGCTATGTTATGGAGCGTATAAGTAAACAAGATGTACGCTAGTAGTGAATATAGAAGAGGGGTAGTGCCGTGATACCCGTAGTACCCATGACTTTCTAACAAAGATAGTATAGTATGCGTGTTTACAGCTTATTAGAGTAGTACTCATAGTACTAGTGGGGTATTGGGGGACTCGGATTGGGGTTGGAGATGGAGGTGGAGGTGGAGGTGGGATTCGAGCTGTGACTGTGGTTAGGAATGGGGTTAGGGGTTGGGGTTAGGGGTTGGGATTGGGATTGGGGGATAGGGCTGGGGTTGGGGATGGAATAGTGATAGCTATCGTTGTGGTTGTGGTTGTGGTTGTACATGTAGAAATTAGATTGGGGCTAGTGGCTTATGTTGGTGACTTGGTGATTGGAAACTTGCTACTTAGTGACTTATTCTAGTGACTTACTTGGTGGGGGGCTTGAGAATTTGAGGATTTGAGAATTTAAGAATTTAAAAGGAGGAGATATATAGAATGTATTGAATATGTAGTAGCAATTGGGATTGGAGAACCGGATTATTGTATGATTATGTTTTATATAGATTTGAGATAAGATGTGATCGGATGTATATGTATATAGAGAGGTTTCTGTTTTTGTTTTTATTTATATTTACTCGTTTTATCTATAGAGAAAAGAAGCTTGGGATAGATATAGAGATATATTAGCCGTTAATTTATAATTGGTATTGATTGCTAGAGTATAAATGATTTAAATGATATAAATAAAAGTTTCTCTGAAGTTCATAGGACTACTCAGTATCTATAGAGGATTTGTGTTTGGATATATGTATTTATATATTTTGTATAGCGCCAAATGGATTGATTGCAAATAATTTAATTAAATCAGAATGAAAGTTATTGTAGATACAAAAAACTATAGGTAAAGGTAAGATAAGGCTCGTCAATATCCTTACTATATATTTCTTCTCACTTGCCATTCTCGATTTTCAAGCCGCAATAGAGTAGAGTGAGTATAGTCCGAACGTGTTTTTCATTACTCGAGTAGTTATATATATATACCATAACTCATCATTCGTGCATCTATCTCGCACTTTGACACTTGGTAGATAGATATAACGATATAGAGTAACAGATGTCACAATATCAATTCTACCATCTCCAATATAATATTAGAGATTGTGCACATGGACGTGACAGACATGATAAGTCAACTCCCCCACATATGGACCACCCCCCCTTATGGACCACCCTAAAAAAAAAACGACCCCCATCTCCCAAACCCTATAATTCAATAACTATCCAATTTCAATAAAATCGCCTGTACCACCACTCTCAATTGTATCATTGCTATCTTCTGTATTAATTCCATGGTCTCCAGCTATGATTTGCGTCTCCTTAATAGCTCTAATCCCTGAAAACCTGGTATTTGGACTAATAATAATCTTATGTCTTTTCTTAGGTATAACAGTATCCAATTGATATTCCAATTGCTTTATATACTTCCCTGATTCTATAAGATTATAATTCTTGATATCAAAAGCTTTGATAATCTTACGAAAAAGCAAGCGTCTTGTTGGCAAATCAGGCTCTTTTTCTTGGGTCATAGTCGACGTATATAATCGAAGGTCAGATGCTTTTTGAGGGGTTTTCCATATAATAGCTGATGCCCCTATGTTCCATTGAAGCTGGAGATCATTATCAGAAGCTGGGTTAAATGCTAGAACCTCTTGGTTGCTATTCTCGAGTAATAATCGATTCATAAGGGGTTTAGCACAGTTTTTGGGTCATAAACCCGATGCTTTCCATCCAGCTTTAATATTATAAACTATTAGAGCTTCCATTCTAGCCTTCTGATAGCAATGTAGAAAGCTATGCTTTCCAATTGGTGTAGAATCAAAGAGAGAATTCAAATTATTGAGTGTATGTCGATATGTATTTTTCAGAGGTGAAAAAACTGATAAATTTAATGATTATAGGATGTGTGAGGTATATAATGGTAGGAATAGAAGATATATGTTGTTTTCGAAGTATCTGTACATGAAGGGCATAATTTCATAACTTCCATAATTATCCAATATAAGTAATTGTGTATTGCTGGTTTCAGAGGGGGTAGTTTGAGATATAAAAACCTTTTCCAATTATTCTAGCCCCATTGCATCCGTAGTCCATCCATTATCAGTAGTAATAAAGTTCCAATTCTTATAAAGAGCAAAATCAGTGAGAAATTATTGTTGTTGAACATATTTTCTCTTAAAAATGACAAATAACGTGAATACTTGCCCTGTTACTGAAATACACTCAATAAAAGATATCCAAACTTTTGAACCAGGTTGTTTTTTCTGAATATTTCGATGCTGGGAGCTTTCTATTACTAGGCCATTGAGACCCTGATCCTTTATTATACCAGCCTCGTCTATATTATATCGATTTTCAGGTTTTATTTCGATAATCTCTGGTAATTCGAGTTTTCGAAACTATAGTGTGATAATATCATATGAGGCACCTGAAACTTGGGCAGAGTTGATTCTATACTATTTCTTGGTTTTAATCTCTGGATTCCTCTCCAAAAAGTTGCACATCTATCGCTTTCCAAAGGTAGAATCGAGTTCTTTTATATCGAGGAGATATTCCCCAATTTCTCGAATTTGCTGATGAATAGGATTAGTATCTAAGTTCTCCTATACTAATATCTATTCCACTAAATGTTTCTCCTGAATCGGAGTAATCTTTTGTATACTTTGATAACTTTTTTGATGGGAGATATAGCTATTGATATAATTATAAAGTGTAGTGCAAGAAATCCCATAATCCAAAGCAGATTTTCGTATCAAAACACTATTTACGATAGCATTTAAAGCTGTGGCAATATTGTTTTCAATATGGAGTTTTGATATTATATAAATAATAGTATATCAAAATTTGAAATTGATTGATTGAATGGTTGTTTAATTATGAATTTTTGAAGAGGGTAGGTTGCTTAGGCGGTGTGGGTTTTTAGGGTGGTCCATAAGGGGGGGTGGTCCATATATGGGGTAGTTGACTTATCGAGCTTTTATGTTGGATCGGGGATCACTATGTACGTCGACTTTATCGAATGCGTGGTTGCAGATCTGGGGGTTTATATCATTTAGTTTAGGTAGCGTTTGTGTTTGGAAGGAGGAAATGAAGGAGAGGTAAAGTAGAAGGAAGAACTGTAGGTAGGGGATGTGTAGAGATAGGTGGGATCTGAGGATGCAAACTGAACTTACAGTGATAGCAGCACGATTCGCGTTATGATTTGGAGTCGGTGTACCGGGTGGTACAGGTGGCCTGTTTTGTCCCGGATAATCGATATCTTAAACTTATTAGCTGAGGATCTTGAGGGTCTTATCTTGTCACTCTTGGGGTATGGCAATGAAACCAGGGGTAGAAGTACACGTAATGGCATCAACACCATTTGACTCTTTGCACCAGCGTGTTTCCGTCGACAGATGATTTTCCGTATCTAATCGTGGCATTTCGTATTAGCAACCTACCATGATAACATATAATTCATCCCACTGGCAATAACGGATTTATGTTGAATTGCATGGTCTAGATAGGTGATTAGTTACCTTTCCATCCCGTTTCGCCATCCCCTACTTTCTGCACCCATCGTTCATCGTTGTCACAATCTAAGTAAGTAAAAACATTAGACACTTCAATCGATCAAGTCAAAACCAGAACCAGAACCGAACGACTTACAAAACCTAAGATCCGCATTAACCTGATCCGCTTCATGCCTCATCCCTTCCAACGCCAAAAAGAATTTCTCCAACTCTACTGCCGCCTGTCCACCTTTAAGTATCGGGGTATTCGTCAACGGATTATCTTGACGAAAGAGAACATTGAACGTCTTAGTAAAATCCGGATCGTGATTTGAATTCGCCAAGCGGTTCCCGGCACTTTTTCCTACGGCTCGGAGTTCGTCGAAGAGTGTTTCCCAGCGCTGGATTCCGTTGGTGTTGGTATTGATATTGTTGGGTGCTTGGAGTGGTTTGCCTGGGTAACAACTGGAGTGGAGCCAGTAGATGAGTGCTTGGGTTGTGTAGGGAAGTACGAGGAGGATGGGTATGAGGGATGAGAAATGCATTTTTAGATTTTTCCTTCTGGAATAGAAATGCAGGAAGCCAAAAAGAAATATTGAACGGTAAAATATAAGAGGTTTTAGAGAAGTGATAGAGTTTGAAAGGCAATTGTATATCTGTATTCATACTTTGGACTTCCAAATACTTTATAGTATAACGGTATCTCCATGAATATCAACTCTCGCCTTGACAACACCGCAGCGTCGCCAAGCAATCTTCTCAGCTTGAGAAAATCACCAGTCTTCAGTCTTCCTATCTATTTTAAGTTTTCTGCTAGGATTGTCTTTTCTCCATTCAAACTGCCTCTACGGGAGTTCTTTGACATAAAGAAGAGTAATTATCCAGACACCATCTTGTCCCGAATATTCGCGCAAGGTAGCAAATGCTCGTAAGTTGTAATATGATTCTATTTCCATCGTATCGATGTCATGGATAAATCATCTTAGATACTCAGCCGTATTCCAATCGATGATCACTTGTAAAAACTTATATGTTTATGTTTTATGACATAGAACCATTGACCCCATACCGGTATATTTTGGCTGTCATGGTAAATATACGTATTATACCAATATACCAATATACCAATTTACTATGAACGTAGTCAAAAATGGGATAACCAAATAAGCAACCCGTAAGGTTACATATTACTAAGTAAAAAATCAGGAGTATGATTCGCCTGTTCTTAAATATAGTCATCACGTGACCCAATACCAAGAACCATGCCACACAGAGGTCAGATTCGAAGCTTGGCTTGAAGGCAGTTCCATTTGCTCCACAAGCCAAGGTTGCATCAGCCCTATATTTCTATTGAGCTTATATACGAAGACTTATCCATGGCCATCGCCAAGAATTTCTTTCTGGAAGGATCAAGCCCCAGGAAATGTATTCTTAAAAATTCCAAGCTTAGAAGTCCTTGAGCTTAAATCGTCTACCTACCGGTACCTACATTATTGAAGTTAGCTGCTTGCTGTCAGCGTGGCTTTGCATTTATTCGTACATTCGTTTATACCAATCAATCCATTCCAATCCATTCCCCACGATAAGTCATATCACACACATGAAAAGTATGCAACGAATGGTCCAGCCTCTAGCTAGCCTTCAGTTCGTTATATTTGATTTATGATGATACTCGTAATATCGGTTTCGATTGACATCAAGAAAGATATGTGGAGATGGAATTACTGACTGAGTAGGGCAGGACCAGGCTGAGCAATATTCCTTTTTCCCTGCTGATCGAGGGGATTGGTTATCATGAGATGAGATGATATGATATGATGTGCATGAGAGATGAATTCTGATTGAAGATATAAAGGCTCATCGAATTCCACCTGTTACTATTACTGTCTATCACTACATCCACATTCATACCATACTTCTTCCCATTCCCCACAGAATTCTACTCCCATAGCAGGAGACCAAACACAAAGAACATGTACTGATCCTTTCCTATCCTCTGCGTAACAATCCTCGCAATCCACTTAAATCTAACAACAGCCCATCAAATCCCCCCTTCTTTCTGGCATCCTAAACGACAAAATGGACCCAACGACGCCGATTTACAAATCAACATGCATCCATCTGCCGCCCAAGCACTTTCCGAGTTTCTAAAGCTCGACAGCACCTTAGACAACTGTGGCATTGCCCTTCCTCATATCAATCAGCCTGGAGTACCTGGACCGCCTAAAGATATCAAGCGAGCCAATCCTATGAGTGGTAAACAATCAATTCGATGTCTGCATGGAATTGGCAAGGCTGTTGTACCTGCACTATCATCTGGCCATGTTCTTGAGCCTGTGGTGAAATTCGTCAAGGATATACAGGTTAATATTGATTTCATCACATACCAGGATCCGGAGATTCAACAGGCGTCTAGTGAATTTTTACTGTATGGCGCTGATGCATTACATCAAATGGCTCCAGCGCTATCGTTCGAGAATGCAAATAAGCTTCTCCAAGCCGTTTTTGCTGCCGAATATGCGAGAATCGTTGATAAAGTTGAGAATTTGGCGCTTTTCTCTCTTGCGAATAGGTTATTGGAAAAACAGTCGGATGAAGATACATGTCCCAAGACTACTTACTACTGGTGACGAACATGGAATTGTTGGTGAGTTATCTGTTTCAACCAATGTGAGATGTCTCGGAAGTCTAATAAGAAGTAGATTGTTCCAATCCTCTTTGCGATGGAGAAGGTGGCGTCTGTAGACGACCAATCGCTTTTCATGGCTGTCCTTGCAGTGAATTTGTCTGTCCTACGAAGACGATATCCCATATTGCGATAAGTGTGGAGGAGACGACCTTCAAAACAAATGCAGAGTAAGTATTTCCTCATCAAATAGATATAATGTTGTACTGACATGAATATGATAGGGCTTACCCGATAAAGGGCAAAAGTATAAGGGGTGTGAATGTATGGTTTCGGAAAACCCCGCTCCGTGGCTCGATGCGGAGCATCCATTTTATGATTTACAAATATTTGTTGGTAAATCTGCTCCTCGAGAAGATGCTCTCAAATGTTCCACATCCAAGGATAAATTTGTCAATTGGGAAGCAGCCAAATCAGCAATTGGAGATTTCTAGCGAGATACTAGTCGTCTCCACTCCGACGTCGCAACCGCTGAAGAGTTGAAGAATGGCAAGTCATAAATGCTCACTACAACAAGGGCGTCTATGATGAAATGGACTTGAGATTTACTTGGTTTCAAAATGACAGGATTGGCGAGGATGGTTGTGTGAAGATGTTTAACGACATAGTAGACGGTTGCGACAAGGATGAAATCGACAAACATGGAGGTTCTTATACTTATATCAAGTCTGGGAATCCGAACAAAGCTCTCGTGGCGGAAATGATTCCAATAGGATCTATTCGAAAAGGGGAAACACAATGCGCGGACATGAATGGCCACTACAGCACACCACGAGATGATGATAATTCAGGTGGGCCCACCGTTAATGCTGCCATCGGCCAATGGTGTAGCGATAACGCAGGATCCAGAGTGGATTGGTTGGTGTATAAAGATGTTTCCTGGAGATTCCCGATCAACAATCTCAAAGTGCCAGACCGGAGTTCATTCTTTCTCCATGCGAATTTGAACCACGACAGGTGTTATGGGAAGACCAAGCAGGAGATATTCAACAAAAATCAGTGTATACAAGCTCTTCACGATGGCATGGATAGATGCGACGACAAAAAGACTCGTACGCATGGACATACTACTGCGGTTGGTTGTATTGACTACAGTATCGTCCTGAGCGGTATTACGCGAGATGGATCTACGCCTTGGGAGGCATCGCCCAAGTTTCCACCACCAGAGTTTGAAGCTGATTTAGGTGGAGTTGATACTACTCCATCGTGTGCAAACGGACAAGCAGGAAGACCCATCTCCGACTCGGATTTGGACAAAGCCATAGATGGATTCTGTAAGGATGGGGCTGAAATCAAAGGGTACGGTAAGTATGGGGAATACATGAATGACTTTCCTCCCGAAGGACAACCACAGTTTTACAACGATGATCTTTATAAGATGCATCTTACGATGGGAGCTGAGACTGTTGAAAATGGTGGACCCGTACCTTATAAGAATATGGGTTGGTGCAAGTAAGTCATACATTTTTCTTTGGTAACATACTATGACTGACAATTTTTATAAAAATTATGATTGGAAGATAGGTAGAGACTATTGTCTATATGCTTTAAGAAGAATCTATCAGGATTTTGCGGATTCTAAAAGAATACTCAGAGGGACATATACTTACAGGTGTGTAAGGTATAAGTCATGGCACATCAATACTCGAGATACATGAAGAGTATTATGAGAGGGTATTGTGAGAGATGTTGATGTAGGGATGGAAAGTTTGGAATATACAGGTAGACTGTACTTTCAGCATATTTTCGGCGATTGTATTATCTCACTATAGATTATAATTTACTTTGAGAATAATTAGCACCGGCTGCAATATTCCAACATGGTCTAAAAACAATCGTTGTGCCTCCCACTTGGAAACCCACCCCACCAACCTCATTACGCATTAATTCATAAGAAAGCAATGAAAGAGAAACCACCCCTTGACTGACACTCTTCCCTTTCTAGCATCGAACCTTTCGAATCGAAAGATTGGTGCCAAAAAGTATTCTTCATTTGAGATCCCTGATTTGATTCCTTTGATATTTTGCTCGTATCACCCAATCAATCAACAGCTTCCTCCTTGCTTTACATACTTTGAACGTCTATCTAGCCAAATAAAGTTTGATATTTTCCAGATCATGCTTGTCCAGGTCATACTTCTCCGCTAAGACGAAAAAAATTTCAATCTGCTATTTTGCCTCTTCTACACTGGCATGAAGGAGCTTTAGATTGTGGCTTTAAATTGTGGCTTCAAATTGTGGCAACTAAGTCAACAAACCAGTTTGAGTAGACTTCACACTTCGATCTCAGCTTGATGAATACTTTGATTTCAGCTTGCTTGATGGACTTCCATTGCAATAACATAACCACAAATTTGCAGTCTTGGATCCCCAATGTTCGAATCCATGAAGGTTAAGGTAAGCATTACGCACGTGCCATACACGAGTATAGCCGAAGCTTTACCGACAACCATTTCCCTTTTACCCCTCAGTACTTTCCCATCCAAGCTTTGTCATAATCAATTGCCATATTATCCGACATCCATTCGCAATAATGACTTCAATGATGGGACCCGAGTTCCCATAAAATATCTATTATTGCATCTTTATAAACTTTTCTAATCTTCTAATCTTCTTCTCCAATAATCAATACCCGCACTCTTAATGTTCAGAAAAATGGCCACAGAAGCAGCAGCCCGAACCTTCTTTTCATCTCCCTATTTCGCTGTTGTGGGAGCATCCTCCGATCCTGCGAAATTCGGGCATAAAAGTAACTAATTCTCTCATTCCTTTCCTTTCCTTTCCTTTCCTTTCCTTCCCTAACAGTCAAGTCAAATATCTCTCTTTCATATATACTATACTATCGAATCTCCAGCTAACCCCCCTTCCCTTCCTTCCCCTCCCAGTCTTCGCATGGTACACCACACACAACCTACCCTCCACCCCCATCAACCCCACCTCCCCCACCATCCTCATAAATTCAACCACCTACCCCACACTCCCCTCCATATCCGCTCTCCCCCATCCAACCCAAACAGGCATATCAATCATCACACCCCCGAAAATCACAAGGAAAATACTAAAAGAGGCCAAAGCTCTGGGCGTAAAGAGTGTCTGGTTGCAACCTGGGACGTATGATGATGAGATTTTGGGATATGCGTTGAGGGAGTTTGAGGGGGGTGTTGGGGGGGAAGAGGGGGGGAGTTTGGGAGGGGAGGGTTGGTGTGTTTTGGTTGATGGGGAGAGGGCTGCGGGGGCGGCGGGGAGGAGTTTGAAGTTGTGAGGTTAGGGATGGATGGCTTGGGTTGGGTTGGCTGGCTTGACTTCGCTGGCTTGGCTGTGCAATGGGGGACAACGTACCGGTACACAAAATATACTGGGTTTAATTTTCGGAGACCCCCGAAACCTTGGTCACCAGTATAAGTTTTATTTGTGTTTCATAATCAGTGAAAGCTGTGAGAGATGTCTTGGGGATAGGATAGGTCTCAGCTCTTTGTGACACTATTTTCTTTCCTGAATCCGTTTGCATCATCCAATTTAATCCAATCCAATACACAGGTTATTGAAATCCCAACTATGGTCATTATTTTGCTATGGGGCTATTTAGTATTTATTTGGTATGGTATGTTTTTGTTTTTTTTGTTTTTTTTGTTTTTTTCGCCTCCGACTCGACTTTGATGGGAATTGCTATTTGCTTTGCTATGGTATGGTATGGTATGGTATGTAGGCAATGACCATACCATACCATACCATGCAGATCATATCGGATGAATAGTTTTATTCTATCTATTCTATCTATTCTATCCATTCTATCCATTCTATCCATTTCATCCATTTCATCCATTTCTTAAATCTACCAAGTCTACCAAAAGACTTAACATGAGTTTGAGTATGAGTATAAAGCTCAACTTTCAACTTTCAACTTTCATTCAATTTTCGAGTTTAGATATTGGTTATTGGCTATTGGCTATTGGCTATACATACTACTGTAGATAGTCATGATTATAATTAATGCACCAGAGCAAAGCAAAGTCTGATATACATACATACATACTCGTACAGATAGGATACAGATAGGATACAGATACAAGTTCTGAGTTACAAACCAATCTATTTATCTATCCATCCATTCGTACGTATGTATATATGTATAGTATATATACAAAACCCATTTTCCACATTCTTCACAATACAATCAAGTCAGCCATACCTAGTCAGTCAGTCATACCCAGTCAGTCATTCATACCCAATCAGTCATTCATACCTAATCAGTCAAGTTAGTCATACCAGTCTTATAAATGAATGTTCCACAAGCGCTGGAACAAGTACTCGAGTAACAAGCGCTGGAATAAGGAAAGGAATAAGGAAAAGAACAAGGCATTTTTCATTTTTCTAATGTTGGTGATACCTAAGATTATACTATACTTTTTGCATTCATTATCTATCTTATCTTATCTTGTTTTGGGGGGGGGGGGGGCGGGAGGGGAGCTGGATGTGGAAATGCTATGTATGATATGTATGACATACATTATTTTTAAGGAAAAGAAAATTGGGTTTTGTTTTGTTTTGTTTTGTTTCATTTCATTACTTGTTCTGCTCTGCTCTCTTATACTCGAGTATATATGTATATAAGTATATACTCGAGTAATATTGTTAGAAAGTCATGGGTACTACAGGTATCACGGCACTACCCCTCTTCTATATTCACTACTAGCGTACATCTTGTTTACTTATACGCTCAATAACATAGCTTAGATTCTGTACCTGAATATAATATATATACACTTCTGACAAATATATATAAGTATTAAACTATAAGTCAGACAGACAGAATCTACACGAGAAATATCGCTCGCTACCAACCCAACCAGGTCATATGATATGTATGATATGATATGATATGATATGTATGATTTGATATTTGTCATCCAAATACATCTTTCTTTCCTTCTAATAGATCTTGTATATAATATATATGATGATGATGGGTTAATACTAATACTAATACTAATCTAATGCAGTGGCACCTGACTGTTGTGTTGTGTTGCGCTTCCACGGACGAATTGAAGTGTAGGTAGGTAGGTAGGTAGGTAAATGCTGGATAGGATAGGATAGGATATATGCATTAAGTCCGTGGCCGTGTCCGTGGCCGTGGCTGGGAAAAATCATCCGAGGAGGTTTTTTTGGTGTGTGTGTTGGTTTGTATTTGGTATTTGGGGTTGTACTTGTGTTGTACTTGTGTTGTGCTTGTGTTGTGCTTGTGTTGTACGTACTTGGGTTGTACGAGTATATGAGAAGGATATTTGTGAGTGAGTGAGGAGTGAGGAGTGAGGATTGTGTGAGGAGTGATGATTGAGTGACTTGGTGTTTCTTTGTACTTCGCATCGTATCGTATCTCCTTTAAGACCGAATGTCCGAGTTAGTGAGTAAGTGAGTAAGTGAGTGAGTGAGTCAAGCAAGGTATTTAGATAGTTTGATAGGGGTTATTTTGATATAGGACGAATGCTCGGTTGGTGGATGAGACTCGGATGTCTTTCTTATAAATTACTTGTGTTAGATTAGATGTTTGGCTTGGTATTCCTATTCTTATTCTTTCATAATTCATTATTCATAATTTAATTCAATTCAATTCATTCCGAGAAAGGGTGGGAGAAGAAGAAGAATAATTTTTACTGTTGAGTGAGTAGGTATGTATCATCACTCCTTCAAGGGTAAGGAAGGTCTCTAAGATTATGGTAGGTTCCCATATTGTAGGTAATCTTTGTGGTACATACTAAATTCTTACCTCACTCACTCACTCAATTCCTTTCTAGTATCATTCTTTCTTTCTTTCATCTATGTATGTATGTGTGTATGTGTGTGTGTGGTTCAAGGTCAAATTTCATCCTTTCTCTTTCTTCCTCGAGAAATACTTACCTACCTACCTACGTCCCTTCTGTCCCTTGATGATATTGATCTGACACCGACACCAATACCGACAACCAATACCGACACCGATAGCGAATATTCATTCATTCATTCATTGGGTGAAACATACTCAGCTTCAAGTGAATTCTCTCTCTCTCTCTCTCTTTTTTTAATCTTCACTTATCTCTCTATCTCTCTCTCTCTTTAATTTTCATCATCATCACTTTAAACAGACTACAACACATTTACAGCCAGTAAACAAACAACTGGACTCGCTTTCGTTTTTTTATTTTTCTTCTTTTTTTTCTTTTAACTTTTACCTTTGGTTTTTATCACCTACACGTTCCTTCCTACTTTCAGTAAATAAGGATAACACCACAAACTACAAACCACGAACCACGAGACGTACTTCGGAATTAGATCGTGGTATTCCTTTCTTTCACTATCAACGTATCAACGTACCAACTTCAATACTCTAGTTGGTGTCTTCAACTCATCAACTCATCAACTTAAACCATGTCAACAAATCCCCAACCCACATCTTCCGATCTAGGAAGCGGCGACGATGTTCCAACATCCATTGCTCCACCACCTCGTCCATTATCTCTCACAGATACCACATATCAAGGTGCATCTGATGCAGAAATGGGCGTAACAACAACTTCTCTAATTCATGTTCATGATGATGAAGTCACTGAGCAATTGCGAATTCCTGAGTTATCTAATGTTGTCTCTTGGGATAGTGATTCTGATCCGTTGAATCCGATGAATTGGTCTACGAGTAAACGTTGGGCTAATACGGTTGTTATTTCTATTATGACTTTTTCTACGTATGTAACATTGTTTCCTCAACTCAATACATCTTATCTCATCTCATTTGCATAGATCTTATTTGCGTCTCGTCTGCTAATCTTTTATAGTCCTCTCGCTTCAACAATGTTTGCACCCGGTGTCCCACTCGTCATGGATGAATTTCATTCTACAAATACCATTCTCCAAACCCTCGTCGTCTCAATCTTCGTTCTAGGTTTCGCCATGGGTCCTTTGATCGCCGCCCCCATGTCTGAACTCTATGGTCGCAAACCCGTTTATCTAACTACTAATTTCTTATTCTTGATCTTTACACTTGCTTGTGGTTTATCAACTGATCTCACCATGTTGATCGTCTTCCGATTCTTCGCAGGATGTGCTGGAGGTGCTCCGACTGCACTTGGTGGCGCGAGTATCGGTGATATGTTCCCAAGAGATCAACGCGGTATTGCAATGGCGATATGGGGTATGGGACCATTGCTAGGACCAATCGTAGGACCTATCATTGGGGGAGTTCTAGCTGCAGGAGCGGGTTGGCGATGGGCTTTTTGGTTGGAGGCTATTATTGCTGGTCTTACATTTATAGGTGGATTTTTCCTCTTGCAGGAAACATATCCCGTGGTGATTCTAGAAACAAAAACGAGACGCATCATCAAGGAGACAGGAGATACATCGAAAGTCTCAGCATTACACCATAAAGATTCCCCCTTTCAACATTTCACCAATGCGATTATTCGCCCTCTCAAAATGTTATTCCTATCACCCATCGTCTTTCTCCTCTCAGTCTATTACGCCGTACTCTTCGGGTACCTCTATCTCTTCATCGCCACCTTCCCCACCACATTCTCTCGGCAATATCATTTCTCGATGGCGACGACGGGTCTCGCCTATCTAGGACTGGGCTGTGGAATTGCAATTGGACTTTTTATATCAGGCAAGGTGTCTGATCCGATATTTAAAATGTTGACGGAGAAGAATGGAGGGGTGGCCGAGCCGGAATATCGTTTGCCGACGTTGATGTTGACGAGTCCGTTGATTGCGGTGGCGTTTTTTATTTATGGGTGGACGGCTCAGTTGAGGGTTCATTGGATTGTACCGATTATTGGGACTAGCTTTTTTGGAATTGGTATGATTCCTGCTTTTGTAAGTTTTTTGTTTTTCGTTGAGTTGTTTTTATTCTGTTCACCTTTATCCCTATCTCACTCTTCCTCTCATTTTTCTTCATCTTCATCTTCATCCATCCCCCTTCTCTCCCTCCATCCATCCCCCTACCTGCCCCTCTCCCTCCCCCAAACTCCAAACCCACACTAACCCGCACTCACCCAACCCACAGCTCTCAATCAACATGTACCTAGTCGACAGTTTCCCCACCTACGCCGCATCCGCAATCGCAGCCACAAAAGTCTTTCAATCAATAGGAGGAGCATTCTTACCATTAGCTGGTCAGCCGCTCTATGCAGAACTTGGATTGGGTTGGGGTAATAGTGTATTGGGTTTTGTGGCGTTGGCGTTCTTTCCGGTGCCGATTCTTTTTTTTTAAATATGGGGGGTGGTTGAGGGAGAGGGGGGTGGTTAAGTTGTAAGTTGTGGGCTGTGGGTTGTGAGGGGGTGGGGGGTGGTAGAGGGCGGAGGAGGGGGGGGAGAGGGAAGGGGAGAGAGGAATGATGGGGAGAGGAGGGAGGGGATGGTATGGGTTGAAATGGTATGGAATGTAATAGGAATCATGGAATCATGGAATATTCAGAACTAGCTAGCGAGATAGCTAATAGCTGTATAGATGTTAATTAGTGGGTAGATGGGATGGGTGTTTTATATCTATCTACTAGGTATATCTATAGATTTTAGTTGAGATTACTAGAACTACTACTACAACTTCTTCTACTACTACTACTACTACTACTACTACTACTACTACTACTACTACTACTACTACTACTACTACTACTGCTACTACTAATTCTACTACTTCTAGATTGATTCAATTTAACTTAACTTAAATTGAGGTGAGATGATTTATATTTTGTTGTAACAGTTGTATAGGTATGTAATAAAAGTTAATTTTTAATAGTTTGGTTTGTAAAATTAAGATTTACTAGTACTAGGGGAGATATGGAGTAGATTATTGATGAGGATGAGGATGAGGATGAGGCGAGAAGTAGGGAGAGAGACTAGGGGAGGGATATTAGAGGAGGGAAGGTATTGGGGAGATATTGGGGAGATATTGGGGAGGTAGTAAGAGGGGATGGCGTAAGAGGGGAGAAGTAGTGGGTAGGAGGGGTAAAGTAGAGAAGGGAGATGGAGATGGAGATGCCAGTGGAGATGAGAGGAGAGAAAGAAAAGGGGAAAAGGAGAATGAAAATGGAGATAGAGATGGAGATGGAGATGGAGAGAGAGAGATAAATATACTCGGCGGGGTCTTTGAAGAGGCATACGCAAAAATAAGCGAATTTGTCTCTTAAAAACTCAATATTTTCAATGTTATTTAAGAAATATTATTTAAAAACATTTATAAGAATAATAGTAATAATAATAATAATAAAACATTATTAAATCAAAATTAAAAGTTTATTTTATTATAATTATAAGATTTTAAATGAAAATCAAAATCATATAAAAATATTTTTATTTTGAATTTATAATAAAAATCTTCAAAATTAGAAACTCTAGTATTTATTTCAATTCATAATTATTAAATTGAATTTTGATTAGTTTAAAAAGATCTTTTATTTATATATTGAGAAATAACTAATAAATAAGGAATTTCAAATTATATGAAATTATATAAATATTTGAGCTAGTAGTAGAAAAATCCGATATCGCTTCATAGAAATGCGAACTTCGGATTGCAGAAATCGGGATAAGTTGATTGGAGTCGGTTGGGGAATGATGTCATATGATTGAGATGTAACTATTCTTTGATTAAATGAGGACAAGGTTGCTTTTGTTTATAGATTGTTGATAGATATCTTTGGCGGAAGATCCACACAGTTGATTTAAAAGATTGACTTGGTGATTGATATCGAAGAACATTGTTTCATCTATCTATCTATCCATTTAATCAATCATGGCAACATTTGCGCAAGTTCCCCTCCCCTCCCATCCTTTCCCCTTCTCGCCTCTTCTTCTCACCTCACCCCCATCACATCCCCATCACACGAACTAACCCCTCCCAGAAAAAAATCCTTCTCCGCAACATCCTATTCCACCTTCCGTCCCTCATACCCTTTCTCTCTCTACAAAACTCTCCTTACCTACCACCAAGGACCCTGCGCTCTGCTTCTAGATCTCGGTTGTGGCCCTGGAACTGTGAGTCGAGCTCTTGCTCCTTATTTTGATAAGGTGCTAGGTACGGATCCTAGTGCTGTGATGATTGAACGTGCTAGGGCTGTTTCTGAGGATGGGTATGAGAAATTGGATGGGGACGGGAAGAAGAATATAGAGTGGAAAGAAGCAACAGCAGAGAATCTACAGTGGATTGAGAAGGGGTCGCTCGATATGGTTGTAGCGGGGCAAGCGGCGCATTGGTTTAATTTTTCAGGGGAGGGAAATGGGGTTTGGGGGGAGATTTATGGGAGGTTGAGGAGAGGGGGGACGGTCGCGTTCTGGGGGTATAGGGATAATGTTCTGGTGGATTATCCAAGGGCGACGAGGGTTATGGAGAAGTTTTGTTATGGGGAGGAGAGGGAGTACATGGGGGGGTATTGGGAACAGCCTGGGAGGGATAGGTTGAGGGGTTTGTATGCGGATGAGGCGATGAGGCCTCCGAGGGAAATGTTTGAGGATGTGAGGAGAGTGGTTTATGAGCCGGGGAGTGGGGTGGGAGAGGTGTTGATGAGGAGGAAGATGAAATTGGGGGAGTTGGGCGAGTATTGGAGGACGTTTAGTGCGTATTTTGAGTGGATGAGGGGAAATCCTGAGAGGAAGAGGTTAGGGGATGGGGAGGGTATAGGGGAAGAGGAAGGGATAGGGAAAGGGGAAGAAAGAAAAGGTGATGTTATAGATGAGATGTTTGTAGAGATGTTAGAAGTAGAGCCGGAATTAAGAGGAAAGGAGGGACAAAATTGGAGGGATGTAGAAGTTGAGACGGAATGGGGGACGGTGATTTTGTTGGCGAGGAAATTGTAGATTGTTAGGAAGGAGGGAATGGGATGGGATGGTCATAATGCGGATGGTGGTTTGGAGTTGGAGTTGGAGTTTTTTGCGATTAGTGCTAGATGGTTTATCGAATGGGGTTTTTGGTGGGAGAGGGATGGGTACTATATATAGGGTTATAGTGATAGTAATACTCGACTACTCAAGGCTGAGTAGTATAAGAGTATATCTCCGGAGGTTATTAATAAGCTGGTATGCATATATACACTAGGTATATTATAAGTGGTTGCATAGAAGAAGCAAATGAGGAAACGAATATACATTTTATTATTATCACATTTATGTTACAACTGCGATACTTCAATCCTGGATGTTCACCCACCCTTACCTACCTACCTAATGAAATGGTTGCCCTGCCAAAACCTCACCAAAATGACCCACTAAACAAATTCATTAGATTATGCTGGGCAAGAACAACATTTGCATAATATTGCACGGACAAAAAGATACATTTGATAATCTATCCATACAGAGTAACTTCTTCTTCTTTCTTACATTACAATACAAATCAATACAAAACATCTTCGAATTCATCCATTCAACCATCCATACATACATCTTTCTACGGAAATATTGTTGTTGTCGCACACACATACGCATACACATTCGCACACATTATAAGCAAATCTTATTCCACAATGGTATGTTTATCCCCTATTCCTATGTACATTCCTTGCATCTACTCCAATGAGAATGTGTTTTGGGGATGAAATGGCGAAATCCGATTTGTTACCTTTCCTGGTTCTCTGGTTTGTTACTTGCCTCTTGTTGCAAATACAGGCGCAAATCCTTTGGCCAGTAATGATTCATTCGGACTGCGCGAGTTGCGTGAGGAGGCTTTGTTTTGTTTGAGTCACCAATCCTTTACTTCATTATACAATCAATATTCGCAATACAATATTCGCATTACAATACAATTCGATACATCCATCACAATACAATACATCGCAAAAGAATCAGTACATTTGCATTCCATAGCATTTGCATCACTTTACTTTACCTCTACTCTACACAAGCAACTCTTACAACCTCATCTTACCGATCATATTTCCTTATTCTACTTCACCTAACTCACGCATCACACTCAATCAAAATCAAAATGCCATCAACTAACCCACCATACGATGCGCAGGCCTCCACAAATTACAGAGAAGCATTTCAACTCTTCGATAAACGCGGTACTCAACGTGTGCAATTGGATCAACTCGGAGATTTGTTGAGGGCTTGTGGTCAAAATCCTACATTGAATGAGATTAGGGAGTTGGAGAAGAATGTTGGTGCAGAGTGTGAGTTTATACTTTTCTTTTCCTGTATGGCTTAAGGGGTTGAGTGATGAGGAATTGGTTTGGGAGGCAGGATAGTTGGGGGAATTTCCACCCTTTGGCAGATGCAATTTGCACCGGCGAAAACAATCAACACTCGAGAATCATCACTAATACAATATCCTCATAGTTGATTTCGAAACCTTCTCCAAGATTCTTAACCGTCCAGGTGGATTCCGTGATCCAGGTGAACCAGAGGAATACTGCCGTGGTTTCCAGGTCTTCGATAAGAATTTGACGGGATATATTGGAGTGGGGCAGTTAAGATATATTTTGACGAATTTGGGAGAGAAGATGAGTGATGAGGAAGTGGATGAGTTGTTGAAGGCGGTTGATACTAGTACTGGGGAGATTAATTATACTGGTGAGTTTTTAGTTGAGATATTTTTATTGGGGAGTTGTTGGGCTTGGCTGGGTAGGGGCAGAGGGAAGCTGGTATTTTGGGTATACATGGGAATGGATACTTTGCGGAGAATGGGAATGGATTATTTGGGAGAATGAGAATGAGAGGAGGCCGGAATGATAAACCAGAAAGCTAACACCAAACAAACAGATCTCGTACGAACGATCCTCGCGAACTAGATTCTACTCTTCGATATAGCATAGCAAAGATACCATATGACATTAGTGACAGGAGAGGAGGGAGGGGTGAGGAAGTGAGAGAGAGAGATACACGAATTAGGGGATATGCACGAATTAGAGGAAATTAAAGATATCACATCAGTTGAAGGAATTACTTTTCATGGCATAAATAGGAGCTGTGGAGTGGGAGCACATTGATAATGGCTATGGTTATGGCGTTGAATGAAGTTTTTGACCTTTTACTGATGGGAAGGGCAAAATGGAGATTATGATTTTTTGCAAATGAGATGTTGTCTGATGAGAGGAGGTGTGATGAGGGGTGTATAGATATGGTATGATATGATATGATTATGATTATAGAGGTGAAGAAATGAAGTGAAGTGAATTCGTGTGAAGATTATTGAGAATGTTTGATTATTTATACTCGAGTATACTAGCTAGCTCATTTTGATATATTCGTATGGTATTAGGTACGAATGGAAAATCCAAACCAAATTTATTATTTACAACAAAACAATACAATACAATATCTACACCAATAATTATTTCGGGCTCTTCGAACTTTATCATCGAACTTTTTGCCCAAATTGAATCAATCATACCCACATATCAACTATTTATTATTCGGATTTTAATCAAATTACGATACTTGAATTTGTTACGATATTGATTACGATATTCAATACTATTCCTCAACATCTTGATACGATACAACATCCAAAATGACATCTCCTCCAGCTCCGATAATCAACACGTATCATTGTGCTTTCTGCACAAATCTAGTGTTGGCGACGACGTGGAACGTTGGAGAGTTGCCGGTGAGAGGGAATGGGGTGAGGGGGAGGGGGGATGGAAGTTTGATTTTGTGGGTTGGGAGTGGTGATGGGGGTGATGGGGAGGGGGAGGGGGAGGGGAAGAGGAGTGAGATGGGAGATGGGGAGGGTGAGGGTGTGGGGGAGGGGAATGAGGGGGAGGGGAATGGAAAGGTAGATGTTATGGATATGGATATTAGTGGAGGTCAAAATGGAAATGGAAATGGAAAAGCACCTTTGGAAGAAACCCCATCACAACCACACTCACAATCACAATCCGCAAAAAGCTACACATCCATTCTTTCCCTAATTCAATCAAAGAGGCAAATAATTGTACGTCGGGAAGATGTCTTTGGGTTTGAAAAGAGGAGGTTGTGGAGGTGTGGGAGGTGTGGGGTTGTGGTTGGGTATGAGGTTTTGGGAGGAGAGGGAGGAGGAGAGGGGGGTGAAAGGGAAGGGATGGCGAGAGGAGGAAGGGAATTGGGGGAAGGAGAAGGGATGGGAGAGGGGAAGGGGAAGATTCTATATTTGTTGAGGGGCGGATTGATGGGTACGGAGGTTATGGCGGGGGGAAAGAAGATTGGGGAGGGGGAGTTGGAATTGGAAATGGGGGTGAGGATGGGGATGGAGAGGGATGCGGAAGGTTTGGTTGGGGGCGGAGGAGTGGCGGTCTGGGGGTGAGGATGAGGATGAGTGTTAGGTTGGGTTAGGTTGGAATGGAATGGAATATATTGAAAAGGAAGGGGAAGGGATGGGGATCCTAAAAAAATGAAGGAATGGAGTATATATAGAAAGATATTGAAAATTGATTGATTTTCTTTCGTATACCTAGCCAGCCAGTAAGTAGTAAAGGTAAAGAAAGGCGTGGTAGTTATGTATTCATGTACTACAATCAGAATATATAGTACCAATTTATCAATCCATGTTCTATAATTAACGTCAGTCAGGCTTGAATAACCCTTACATCCTGTTTTTATAGTGTAAATTGGAGGCGTGTGGCCCTGAATCTTGAGAAATTGTATGCCCGGAATAACCTGGAATACCTGGAATACCTGGAATGGAAGATTAAAAAACCTCGAATTGTGACGACGCCCCTCTTATTTCGGAAGGTTATAGGTATTTGGTACTGTACCTATTCACCTAGCTCCCCCACCATATCTCTCCCACCTTCCAAAAACTGTCATCTTGATAACTAAAGCAAAACGCTTGAATAACCAACAAGGATTCAATACCCATCTAAATCCAATCACTCCTTCAAACTGGCTTCTTTCATACGTCTTTTACGTTACAGTATCATCCTACTATTCATCTTCCTTTCCATTTCTGCCATTCTGGCTACCTCAAGAATTGGACCCAGACTGGGAGCTTTATTTAGTCAATTAAGACCTACAAATATAAAACCCCTCTGGTCTCCCCTCTCAATCATCAAACCAACCTCAACACGATTCATCACCACCGCAACCATGGCACCCCTTCAATATCAAAAACCTCCTCAGGCCCCTCCTCTCTTTACCCATACAGAATCGCAGATTATCGATGAGGCCAAGGAGTTGATGGATAAATATCGAAAACTCCTCGATAATCTGGTGGCTAATGTTACACCTGAAGATGCTACATTCGCAAATGTTCTCTTGCCCACGGCGCACCAGGATGATCTTGATTCTCTTCAAACCAATATTCTTACATTCTATCAAGCCGTGTCTGCGGATTCGAAATTGCGCGATGCGGGCTCAAAAGCTGAGGAAATTATGGATGAGGCTCAGATTGAAATGGCCATGAGAGAAGATGTTTTTAGATTGGTAGATGCGGTTTATAAAAAGGGAGAGACGTTAGATCCGGAGTCAAAGAGGTTTTTGGAGAAGGAATATAAGGGGTATATTAAGAATGGTTTGGGTATTGAGAAGGGTGAGAAGAGGGATAGGTTTAAGGAGATTAGTAAGAGGTTGGCGACGATTGGGACGAAGTTTCAAAAGAATTTGAATGAAGAGGATGGGGGACTTTGGTTCACGTTGAAGGAATTGGATGGGGTTCCTGAGGATGTTATTTCCGGGTTGGACAAAGGAAATGGAGAAAATGAGGGAAAGTTGAAGTTGTCGTTCAAATATCCGGATTTGTTTCCAACGCTTAAGTTTGCAAAGGATGCGGAGACGAGGAAGCAAGTCTTTATTCAAAATGAGAATAAGTGTCAGGAGAATGTAGGATTGTTCAAGGAAGCTATTGTTTTGAGGGATGAAGCTGCGAGATTGTTGGGTTATCCTGATCATGCGAGTTTTAGGATTGAGGATAAGATGGCTAAGACTCCAGCTACGGTTAATGAGTTCTTGCATGATTTGAAGATTCAACTTGCTCCAGGTGGTGTCAAGGAAATTGAACATTTGAAGGCGATCAAGAAACAAGATTTGGATGCTAGAGGATTGGGATCGACTAATGATGATAATTATTATCTTTGGGATAATCGATTTTATGATCGTTTGATGGTTGAGAATGAATTCTCCATCGACGAGAATAAGATTGCGGAATACTTCCCTCTTCAATCGACTATCGAAGGAATGCTCAAGATCTTTGAAGAGTTATTCGGATTTGTATTCGTTGATATTAGTAGTGAGGAAGAATTGGCCAAGGTTTCATCATCTGGAAAGGGTTCAGATGTTTTACCTCATCCAGACTTTAAGCTCTTTAGTGTTTGGGATGATGAAGGTGAAGGTAGTGGATTTGTTGGATACCTTTACTTGGATTTACATCCACGTCCTGGAAAATATGGCCACGCTGCAAACTTTAACCTTCAACCCGGTTTCTCCTATCCAAATGGTACCAGAAGATACCCAGCTACAGCACTCGTCTGCAATTTCTCCAAACCAACTGATAAGAAACCATCACTCTTGAAACATGAAGAGGTTGTTACTCTCTTTCATGAATTAGGTCATGGTATCCATGATTTAGCTGGTCGTACTCGATATTCACGTTTCCATGGTACGAATACCGTACGCGATTTCGTCGAAGCTCCCAGTCAAATGTTAGAAAATTGGTGTTGGACTCCCAGTCAATTGAAAAACCTGAGTAAACATTATCTCACGGGTGAATCCATCCCCGATGATTTGATCGAGAAGCAAATCAGCACCAAACATGTCAACGCCGCCCTCTTCAATCTTCGCCAACTCCACTTTGGCATCTTCGACATGACAGTCCACACTCCCAAATCGCACACTGAAGCCCAAGCCTTCCAACTCAGCGAACTGTACAACGAACTCCGCACGCAAATCTGCGGTCTCAAGGGTCCTGAAGCGCTCGGTGCACAGAGTAACTGGGGCAGTGGTCAGGCTACTTTTGGTCATCTCATTGGTGGCTATGATGCGGGTTATTATGGGTATCTCTCGAGTCAGGTGTATAGTACCGATATGTTCTATACGGTTTTTAAAGAGAATCCGATGGATGGGGTGAAGGGGAGGAGGTATAGACATGAGGTGTTGGAGAAGGGGGGGAGTGTGGATGAGATGGATGTGTTGGTGAGGTTTTTGGGGAGGAGACCGAGTACTGAAGCGTTTTATAGGGAGTTGGGGTTGCAGGGGAGGAAGGGGTGAGAGGGGGGAGTTTGAGAGGGGAGAGGGGAGAAGGGACGAAGAGGTGAGAGGTGAGAGGGGAGATGGTGGGTTGTGATGTTGTGGTTGCGAACTGGACTGGAGATGAGATGAGATGAGAGATGGCTTTGCTATTTTGCAGATTGAATTTTCAGACTTCAGACTAGGGATTCAAGAGTATGAATGAATGAGGGTATGGGATCAACATGGAAATTATGAGAATTATGAATGAGCAATAGAAATAAATAAATAAAATAAAATCGATGAGTATCAGTATCAATATTCAATTAAATTATTCGAGTACACTATTTCGAATATCTTTCTATCTGTCTGTTTTTCTTTCATTCCGTCTTTCTTTCTGTGTGTTTATCTGTTTGTCTTTCTTTGTGTTTATCTGTCTGTCTGTCTGTCTGTCTGTCTTCTTTTCTACCAGTCTGTGTATGTCTATCAATGTGCTAAGTGCTAAATGCTATCTATATTATAAGTGTGAGTATAAGTGTGAGTGTGAGTAATACTAGTATTTAACTAATTTGAGACTGGAGTTGGGAGTTGGGAGTTGGGAGGTGAGAGTGGGGTGGTGAGGGGAGGATGGGATATGGTGAGATGGGAGGATGGGAGGATGGGAGGATGGATAGGATGGGATGGTAAAGGAGGGTAAAGGATGGAGGTGGGAGGATGGGAGGATAAAGGTGAATGGGAGGATGGAGGTGAGGAGTGGAGATGGTGAAAGGATGGTGATAATGGGATGGATGAATGGATAGATTGTCTTGGAAGTATTAATTATACTTATTGAGTATATTTAGTTTTAGTTTGGTTTTGGTTTTTTTTTTTTTTTTGGGAAAATTGAATGGTACAGTATGGTGTGGTATATATATTGTGTATATTGAGTTGAAATACTCGAGTATTGGCAATTCTGGTTAGAGTTGATGTTATATCATTTGTTTGTTATGAGTATAAATGAAATAAAGTAGATAATTGTAATAAATAATATGTTTATATATAAGTATATGGTGTGATTATGACGGTGATGATGGTGATATAGAAAGGTTGGTGAGATGATGGGATTGTGTCATGGTTTTTGTAGTTAGGGGAGGAGATAAATATAGAGTAGAGATAGAGATGGTGATGGTGGGTGATGGTGGGTGATGGTGATGGTGATGGTGATGAAGATGGATTTGAAGGTTGTGAGTTTGGGTTTTGGGGTGGGGTGGGGATTGCTGGGGTGGTGGTTGCAACTGGTGGGTGTGGTGGAAAGAGAGAGAGGGTTTGGGGTATGTAATTGTATTAGGGATTAGGGACTAGGAGAGGTGGGAGGATGTGAGAGAGGTGGAGGAGGAGTGGAGGAGTGAAGGAGGAAGGAATAAGAGGAAATTTGAAAGTTGGAAGGGGGTTGGAACGAACGGATATATAATATATAATAGAATCTTTTTAAGGAGTTTATAGTTAGTGATAGCGATAGCGATGCCGGGTTGGGTAGAAGGGGGTGATGAGGAAAGAAATGGGTGGGGCGATGGATTTGAACTGAAGTGGATGGTGGAGGGAAGAATTGTGGGCTGAGAAACGAGGATGGGAGGAGAAAGATAGGGGAAGATATAGACGAGTGATTGTGTAGAATCCAGGAGTAGCAGCTTTGAAAAAAGTTCAAGTTTTGTTTGTTCTAGAACTTGTATTTGAATAGGTGGTATTGAGAATCTATATGTAAGGAAATGTAATCATCGGCGGACTCAACAGGGGAGTTACTAGTACGGGGTTCATAATCAATCAGATAGTTTGGAGTTTTATTGTAACTTGAATGACTGAGAATCTGATATCTGTATTATATTGTTCTGTTCAGTAGTAGTTATAAATTTCTTTTTTTTATAGATATGAATAGATATTCATTTGTTTGCCTACTTACTCGTATAAAAACAACAATAATAATAAACTTGAATACTTTGTTATTTTTTCAATTCACTCCTATTCAATCATATATCCTCCATCTTCCATTCTTCCATCCTTCTACTTACTATATATATTAATACTATTGATTTCCTCTACCAATATTTGAATCCTTTTCTTTCCCCTCTTTCCCCTTTTACTAATTGACTCATACTATCAAAATGTACTATCATGATTATAGAATAATTCGAGTAAATAGCTATATTATACATTATGGTTCGAGTCTAATGTCTATATCACTACTCGAGTAGTATAGTACGAGTATGATATCGTAATGTCCTTGTATAATATCAGTATAATATTAGTGACTGCGTTTTTGATAGTTTAAGTATGGATTTGATGTTGGTGTTGGTGTTGGTGTTGGTGTTGGTGTTGGGAGTTGGGAATTGAAAGGTATTTATTTTACTGGATTAAGTTGGAGAGTTGGTGGGATGAGATAAGATAGGATGAGAGGGATGAGAGTGATGAGATGAGTTGGGACGGGATGGGATTAGATATATTTGATAATTTATAATACCCCAATCGCTAATTTCAAATCTATACTCGTAGAGTGCTTGTTAATGAATAATATATCATCAAGTACTCGAGTATATGTATATATATATATCTCGAATATGTTACATCATATTTTATTCTATTTATAATCAAAACCGAATACCTGATCTGTATGTCGATAGTGGTTTTTGTATAGTATAATAGGCTTTTTGGGGAGGAGGGGGATTACTCTCTTTTTTAATGGCTGGGGATTATTACTATTGTTGTTGTTGTTGCTGTTATTCAAAGTGAACCTCTCTCAGTAACAGTGGGCTTAAATATATTTTAAGATCATAGGTGTCGTAATTTTAACATTGAGATCAGATCAGACTCACAGAACGGATCCGAAATGTGTTAGATGTAGATCGTGTTATTGACGTCCCTTACGTGCAATGTCTACGTTTTACGTTTCAGAAACTTGGCATATAGAATGATTTATACTCCTCATGAGGCTCGTTTCTTGCTTTCTTGGACTTAGAGAACATGAGTAGGGACAGGAGGAGATAAATATCTTTCTCACAATTCTCTTTTGATCAGTTTGCTATAGTACTAGATTGTTCGATTTTTTGTTATATTTAATATCACTTGGAAGTTGGATACTAGTATTTGCTCCACGCGAGTATATTTTATTGGCGGTAGATCTATCTCGCGTATTTGAGTTTAAGCGCTATATATATGATATTATCCCCTAATAGCTATATGAATCAAATAATTGACGTGCAGCGATATCTCTCTTATTTATCAGGAATTTTATAATAAACATATTACGCTCTCTTTATATATCTATTTGCACATGAGTATTCTAGTACGAGTATAACTCGACGGAGTTCTTTCCTGTTATTCATGCGAATACATCTAGTAATTTTACTGTGCGTATACGTATGTGTGTTGTCACTTAACTCTTGAGCTTGCCGTGAGCCCACTATAACTCTATGAGTAATGAGTTTCAATATTCGGTTGTCAATATATAATGTTTACTGCTGATAATTAGGACTATAATATACCGAGGAAGACTAACTATCCATATATGACACGTAAGATGTTGAGCACTGCATTTCTTGTCGGTCATGTGTGTTGTCCAGTTGCTTTGTTATTGATTCGGAAGTTCTGGGTGCAAGAAGTTCTTTTATAATTCTCCTGGGAAAACTTTCTTGGATGATTTACTCTTAAATGATGAAGTGATGAAGTGGTGAGTGAATTAAATCCTTTAACTTTCCTCTTCATGACTTCGCATCCTAGCCTCTTTCATTATCGATTCCAAGCTTTTACTCCCCCAACTATCTACTAGTGAGATATTGCGTTAGGAATGACTAGAGCTATTCATTTAGTCTGATTTACCGAAGCAGGGAATTGACACCAGATTGCAAATCCTCAAGATCTCTAATTGGCGTTTATATCTTTTCAATTTAGATTCATATAAAAAAGTTCTTCTTATACCTCTCGATTTGGGAACTATCTTTAGAAATATATCCAGTCGCCCCTTATGAAACTATTCACTCAATCCATTAGTAGTAGTAGTACTAGACTGCGCATTTCTAGCTCGATGAACTTGGAAAGAACCCTTTCTCCACCAGAGAGTCGAGAATTAAGCGATATATAAGTCCACCCACTGCCATAAACTCCAAGATTAACCAAAAACACTTGCAGACTGCAAATACCGGATAACCAGGAACAGTCCTAACTTTCACTGCGTCGTTGTTCCGCGGCGCGGTTGTATTTGCGTTGCAATACGTACTTTGAGCTAGAATTACTGTCATCGGATAGCTATCTATCTACAGAATTTTATTTTTCGGTTAGTTGCTTGTTGTTACGTATCCAAGTTCCATGACTGCTATCATATAGTTATACTACCGATAGCTTCCCTTGACTATCTGTTGAAACTTATCGAACAGGTATTGAAGAAAGAAGTCAGAGCGCATCATCTGCAGACTATCTAAGTTTCTACGAAAATTAAAAGTATCTGAGTGGGTTGTTGGTTTCCCGCCGCCACATACTCCGAGTCGTACATACTCTTTCCAAATTTTCTTGAAAATAGACTCATGTGCGAGGGCTATTTTTATAATTCTTATTTGAAGGTATCCCTTTCGGATGGAGACTGCTAGTGCATGGAAAATATACAGATACGGATGAGAAGGAACACATATATTGACTTATTTGTGTGTCCTAGATTGAAGAATATTTAGGGGTAATCTAGCAATATGACGAACACATAAATTGGGCTGGTATTGATATGGTTTCTCAAATCCATTGATTTCGAATTCAACCTTAAATTTACAGCAAAGATCTAATACAAAGCATTTCAGAAGTTGTATAATCGCTAGTTCTATACTCCAAGCTACTGCTTTATTATCTGAATCATCGCTGTCCTTAATACGTTGCCATTTCTTTCTATTTCCACTGTCGATGTTCTATAATTTTCTTAAACTTTCCACAAAAGTTTTACGAGGATCTAACTGAAAGACCATGACTCAAAAGTACACTACCCCGAGATCGAGATTCATATCTTCTCGCCAGCGGCATGGGGTCCTGTAGTACATGAAATAGTAACATTTCAGATCGAGGAACAATTGATACCCCAAAGTCGGGCTAGTGGATCCATGATATAGAAAGTAGAATAGTCAGATTCATGGTCTGGCTCTTAATCCTAGTAGCCCATTCATGAGAGAAAGGTCTACGGTATAAAAAGGTTCGCTAGAACTAAGACATAAACACCTACTCGTAACTAGGCCCAGTTATTGAATGAGTTAAATGAGCAAGAAGAAGCTGCATTATCTACTCGTATATATCTCCATCATTATGCCTGAAAGTTACTTCCATCAAGCTTAGAGTTATCGTAAGGTTTGATAATTCTATACTCTTATCCAAGTACTGTCGGTCGCTTTTCCTCATCGGATGGTATTATAATCGTGTACTATTATCGATCACCATGGCTCATTTTTGTCGTCTAAATATCAAAATTTCGTCCCACGAAGTAGTTATTATTAAAGGCAAAACTTGCAGAAGTCTAAGTACTTGCTATGAAAATAAGAGTAGAAATGAGGCTACATCGATCGTAGGAATCTCGACAATATTGTTCCAATCATTCTGAGGTTTGGATTTCCATGTTCTGGATCTTACGCCGGGAGACCCCTTTTTTATAGCTTCAGTGGGTGATGCCTAGTTGGGATAAGGTGAACTCAACCACAGAAGCGTGAAACTCTCAATTCCCAAATTCTAGTCCCCCGATAGTTCCTCTAGTCACCAGTCACTCAACAGTGTCACTTCCTGTATCACCAAACGCGTATATTATAAGTAATCTGAATACGAAGCACGAAGTACAATCAAGCTAGAAGATGACGAAGGTTGCTTAATTTGGCGCCGAATCCTAGTCACTAGTGTAATAACATATTGCTGAGTGAGTTCATATTTTTATACATTCATGATTGAAACTAAGCCATCGATTAATCTGCGATTATTTGTGCATGAGTGTTGTACTGAACATCATTGTTGTCATCTAATTGGTAATGTCGCAATTACTGAAATTGAATATGCTCTTTGTTGTTGCCATCATCTTGAAAAGTAAAAATTGAATAGTCAGAATAGAGGAAAGGGAGGTCGAAAATTTGAAGAGTTGTGTTTAGCAGATAGAAAACAAGTAAACGTAAACGGAACTTTATTGTTTCCATCAAAAAGAATGATACAAAGAGGTTAATCCAAGTAGTTGTCATATAGGATGGTTTTATATCGGATCGTAGCTTGAGGTCTGAATTATCTAGGCTAGAACGAGGGCACTGTTATGTACTTTCACTCCTTATGTCCTTGACACATCGATATTGTCCAATCGGCAATGATTTACTTGCCTGCTGTTTTACTTTCATGGTGAGATTGATACGATATCTACGGTAGTTCTAGTCTATCACATTCTTCGTGGTGAGCAACATGCAGGTCCGAAGACTTTTATCCATAGAGGAAGTAAGGACGTCAAAAGGGGAATTAGGATCTACACGAAATTGCCCAAGTTTGATGGATGAGATCCTGATTATGCTTCTTGGTAAGTTATTCTTTATATCGCGAGCTCTAGGGGGTATTAGTGTTCAAAATAATTTAAGCTCATGATCAGCTAAGCTCTACTAAGTAATGACATACTGATTCTACAGCTGTAAGTTATACAGACACGCCGCCGTTCTTGAAGAACCATGAAAGATGAATACTTCCTGAGGTCGATGTAAAACATCCATTACAGAGTTGAAAGCCAGTACTAGCTGGAATCAGGCTGTGAAGGTCCTGACAGGGTCAATTGTTCTTCTGATTCTTTCATGAGGAGTCTTAGTCTTATAAGTGGAACACGAGAAATGAGAATTTAAATCAAAATCGATTGGTTGTGTAGTTCTTGACAAATGATAGAACTCAACTCGGTTTACCCCTTTTGGTACAATATATTTTAGGCGTGCATTGGTTTGCTTTTAATTTCTGTTACACAGTCTTTTGAACACCTATCAAGGTATTCATCTAGACTTACATAAGGATGTATCATACTATCAAGGCAAAAACAGAAGCAGAGATACGATCTATCATGACACTGGTAGAGTCACATTGTGCCGGTTCAGATAACTATGAGATCATGTCCATAAGTATGAAACAAATAAGTCAGGAAACTATTGTTGTCGGCTTGACTGCTTCTTGTTCGGATGAGGTACTGCTAGGCCTCCATAAGTCTATCGTCTCAACACTGAGATAAACCAGCTTCGGATCATACACTGATCCAAGTTATTGGTTTTAATATGTATTGACCTTCACTCGGAGGTAACGGATAAGAGTTTCTTATAAACAAACAGTGTAGTAAAAAATTGAAATTATTCTCACACAGCAATGCAAGACTTAATAGAATGAAAATATGCCGAACATGTCACCACAAGCCATCTCTTACCAAACTAATATATAGATCTCAAGGCGTTTTGGAAATTGGAGACACGCAATTATGAAGTGAATCACTCCCATGATTTTATGCACCTACAACATCAATTCACCCCTTACCTTCTCCAACCCCTAACCATGCGTCCATCCAACCTAATGCAATCTTGAGTCTAGTCCACGAACAACGAAACGTGATATTTATAAATTTGATTCACTAGAATAAGAAAGCCTGGCCCGGAGCATGCTTGTCTATAGCCGCTTGAACTGCATTTTTCCCAGACAGAAAAGAAAAGAAAATGAGAGAGGTGTAGTGTTGATTGTACAGATCGATCTAGAGACTACCCAGGAATCTTTTGTCAAAAAATGTAAGACTGTGGAGGAACTCAGATTACGGCATAAAAACATAATGCCCTTCTATGTCTATTGCACTTATGGGAGGATATCAGGAGAGATGATATCATTGTCACTGATAGAACCAGATACATAGTCAAGGAAGGTCTTTTAGTACAAATTATATATTCCTAAATTCTAATCGTTCTATATTATCGGACAATACTCATGAACTTGCTCTATGCAACCTAACCTGTACTCCATTCCTGCTGCGATTTGTGACAGCGTGATGATACAGAACCGGGCCCGGTTTCTCCAAATTCTCAATCTGATCGTACTTTTGTAAAAACCTCACAATAATGTATGAAGCTTCTGTCAAGGAAAATTGTTCTGCATAACAAAATTAGCTATTTGTGTATTGTGGCATTTGAAAAATGGGAACTTACGACCAATACACTTCCTTGGGCCTCCACCAAAAGGAATAAATTCCCACCCAGCTCTCCTCCCTTCCCACCTCTCAGGCTTGAATTCATCGGCATCCTCGCCCCAGATATCTTTTCGATATTGCATCGCATAGGTCGAATACAATACCCTCGACCCAGCCGGGCAAAACATAGGTTGTGTACCATCGGAACCTCCTCCACGTGGTAATATCGTATCTTCGTTGCATGTGCGATCGTTAATTGGAACCGGTGCTCCTACACGTAACGATTCATCGATCACATATTGCAAGTATTTACAGGATCGTAAAGATTGGAATGAGATCTCTGAGCCAGCTGGTCCAAATGCCGAGAGAATAATGCTTCGCAGTTTTGAGTAGATGGCGGGGTTGCGCGCGAGGTAATAGAATGTCCAGCCGAGTAAAGAACCAGTTGTATCACGGCCTGCATTGAGCACTTGTAGTGTTTCATGGCGAAGTCTCACTGGATCTTGATTGACCTTCGCTAATTCATCCAAGAGTGAGAATGACTTCTTCTCGGAATTGGATTCTGGGCTTTTTTCTTCATCTTCGTTTTGGCGGAGGCGTCCTTCGACAAATTTGTCGACCATTCGGTGGACTTCGTCCCGGTGGTAATCGAAGTTGCGACCCTTGACGAGTCCGTTCCAGCGACCAGCGACTCCCTTCAAGAATAATGATTTTTTTCCGGCATCAAGATGATGTCCGAATGTGCGGAAATCTGGGTTGTCTACATTTTGGACGGGGTTCGGGCTGGCTATTTCGTTCTTGGACGGATTGCCTGCATCTTGGGAATGTACAGATTTTCCGTAAAGAAACTCGGTTGAGACGTCGAGTGTTAAATTGAGAAATAGAGGGGCGAGATCAACTTTTTCTGTCCAGCCGGTTTCAGTGTTTTGTAGTTCTTGACGACCAAACAGCGCTTGAATGTGGCGCTCTTCAAGGTCGAGATCTGATACTCTGTCTCTGGAGAACTGGGGTCGTACAAGTTGTCTGGAGTGTTTCCATGCATCACCTATGTTTTCCAGATTAATATATTGTCATACGGGGACGCCAAAAGCCAGTGTTTTGAGTTCAGGACAAAAGCGACATACCTTGAGCAGTGAAAATACCATCGCCAAGCAACGGGCTCCAGATCTCCCTCCTCTGTGCTCCAATCTCCCATTTATGCGACTCCGTCTGTAGAATAAATTGTACCAATGATGGATCCCTCGTAATGATAATCTCGGTATCCAAAATCTGCCCTCTTATCGTCAATGTATCCGGTGACACCCTATCCATAAGTTCCATGAACCATCGTGGACTTCTCCCCTCACGATTTGCTCTCGCTGCATTGATCACGCTCATGATACCGAACGGATCGAATCCATATACTGTCGGGGGCGGTGCACAGCCATGTCGTTCGGCCTCTTGACGACGCCTTCGCTTGGTATGGTATATAGAAACGCATTTTAGAAACAAGGCAAAAATGCCAATGTTTAGGAAGAGAGAAAAGATATACATGGATTTTAATGATTGGAAGATATTTCGAAAAATATCAATTCAAATGGTGCTTGTCGATAGAGCATAGTAGAATGACAACTGAGAGAACTTCTCGAAAGAGCTTGAGTCGGAGCAGGGATCCAAAAAATGAGATTTCCGATATCAACTGAGCACAGCGAAGATCCCAATTGAGATAAGATGAAAGGCCAGCTGTAATTGATTGTGTTAGTTAGCGGTAGGCATAATTTTTTCGGATTGCTATCACTATCTTTTCGGTGACATTTGTTTGGATAGAATATGTTCGACTTTTGATAAAATTTGTCGAAAACACCTAGTCAGAGTATCGCTAGTGAGTGCAGATCGTTCCCTCCAAGCTAAAATCCACTATTGAATAAGCCTGAGCTGCCTGGCACGTCAATTCTTAGTTCTGAACATCCAGGTGAGAATAATCAGCGGATAAGGTCATCCGGGTTTCTACCATGTGAAATTGTGAAATTCCCACGAGGTGGTTTGGGTTGTCAAGCTTTGTTCAACCTTGTCGATTGCCCCCGCCGGAAATTTGTGATAAAATCAAGACTTGCTAGAATTTACTGTACTTTCTTCACCTACAATCCGCTACAATGTCACCTTAATAATTAATTCTATTCAAATTATATTGTATCAGACATCATGGATAGAGAATCATACCCACTCTCCCCATTCGACCACCTATCACCACGCGTCCACGTCCCCAAACTCCTCTATTTTTCCTCCAATTCAGATCCTCAAACCATCGTTCAAACACTCAAAGATGCACTGTCCAAAACGATATCAGCATTCCCTGTAATTGCAGGATCAGTTGGCTTGTCCAAAGAACCGCATTGTCAGAAAGGTTCGCTTGCGGTGCAAGGTCCTTATTTCGGCGTCAACGACATCCTCTCTGTGAAGGATTTGAGCTCCAAATACGATTTTGAGAGTATCCGAGCCAATGAATTTCCGACAGATGCAGTAGATGCAGATGTACTACCGAACCTTGCAGGAAACAATAATCAAGTCCTCCTTGCACAGGCGAATATCATTCATGGGGGCCTTGTGCTCGTCTGTGCAGTGCATCATTGTGTGATGGATGAAGGGGGCATGTTCAACTTGTTGAACTTGTGGTCTATATTTTGTCGAGGGGGAGATGGTGATGAATTGGTGAATAAAAAATGGGTAGATAACTCTGCTTTATTGCAAGGGGGTGGTACGGGCAGATTGGAAGACCATCCAGAATATCAATTACTACCAGAAGCTGCGTCTACCACACCGTATCTTTCGCATTCTTCAGATGTGGTGGATACAGGTTTATTTTTCTTTTCGGACGATTCATTACAGCGTCTGAAAGAGCTGGCCAATGAGGGCTCAGATGATGAATCTTGGGTCTCTACAAATGATGCCTTGGTAGCACTTGTTTGGTCCAGTATAACATCGGCACGGATAGCTACTTCAGACTCTGCTGAGCCTTCTACGCTATCGGTATTTGCTATGACGGTTAACGGACGAAATCGTCTTCTACCACCTATGTCTCCCAATTTCACCGGGAACGTCGTCTTGATTTCCAAATCCTTCAGCAGATTCTCGGATCTGTCATCCAAATCATCAAATCCTACTCATCTGGGGACCATTGCACGCACAGTCCGACAATCAGTCCGGGAAGTTGACAACGCGAAAGTTAAAGACGTAATAAAAGCAATACAAAATGTGACAGATCTTGCAAGACTACAACCAAGTGGATATGAGTCTCACCAACGCAATGTTGGATGCTCGTCTTGGTCTGGACAGCCCTATTACAGTCAGGATTGGGGACGAAAGTTGGGCGGAAAATGTCGAAGATTTAGGTGGAGAAGTTTGAAGACTGATGGGATTTTTATTATCTTTCCGAGAATTCCTAAGGATGAAGGCGAGAAACTTGGAACGGGGGGTTTGGAAATCTGTATGGGGTTGCGGAGAGAATGTTTGGCAGCGTTGAAAGAGGATAAGTTTTTTGGGCAATTTGCAGAGTGGAGATGCTGTTGAAGATTGAGCTCGGTTGGGCATGTTGGAATATCTCGTATTTTCATATTGCGTGGTAGCAATCACATATTCATTCTATTTTCGTAAACTATGCCAATGAGTTGTTCAATATTTCTCAAAGAATTAATCTATCTCGTAAAGCACGAGTGTAACTTCTCGCCTGGGGTTACATCCTTCCGGGAATAATAGTGAAACGGACCCAGACCTTTTCCCTCAGTGCGGAGAATCTCCGCCAAACCTGACAAACGGACATATTCCGTACGTAGGCCCCGGTAGGGTGGTAGAGGAGCCTTCTATTGATGCCAAATTTGGTGAATTATATCCTGATTCCTGATACGGGTGACTTCACTCCCGATCGATAATTGCCAGCGGTCTTAATAAGGTACGTCGGCGACTATCCAGACCCACTTAGCTATCGTCATCTCTGACTCGAAGCTCGGATGCCTAGCTGACGTCGGGGAATTTCAATATATCGAGAAATATCCTAGTGAGTCGCAGGGTCTCTCGGAAGATTCGAAGCCGAATTAGCGCAAGCGGAATTAAATTGCGCCTTGGTGAGCTGTATCATTAAGAATTTCAAAAGGGTGGAACGTAAACGAACAAATAAAAGATTAAACTGCATGGTGATCTGTACAAAAGAGCTAGCTCTAGCGCCCCTGACTAGTGCTCGCTTAGCCCTGCGCCGACATGCCTTAGCAAAGGGATTAGTATCCGAGCGAGATGCTCTGGTGTCATTGTACTTGCCGAATCCATCTGCCTCTTCTCCTTAGAGAAAAGTTTCCTCTGAGAAAACAATACATTGGTTTTTACCCTGAGACATGGGTTATTACAATAATTTCTTGGTATTGTTCGATACAAAATGGAGTTTTTTATATTTTTTTGAATACCAAGATTAGGTGAGTGGGTGGAAAGGCTGCTATTTATTTAAGAGAAGAGGCTGCTCCTAGGCGTACGCCTGGCCCACTATCGCTCGCTTTTTATTTACGCCACTGAGTAGGGATCCCTTTCTTTATAGGGCAGGCCCCTTTGAGAATATAAAGTTCTTCGGGCGTTCTTAGCTCCACTGTACCCGTAGACCCTTGACCCCAGTCCGCCGATCTCTCATCCTTTTAGACTTTTCAGCTGTGACGAAAATGGGACGTTGGCAGGGTTAATGTTGTTGGCAGGTGGTAATCAGATAATCGATAGTCCCGATGACTTGCGGACTTGCGACATATATCTAGGTTCTCATTGGCACTGCGAACTTCAATCCTTTATCCTTTATCAAACAACCAAAACACAAATCGAGAACCCAATTCCCATCCTTCCGCACGAACCGAATCGAAGAATCAAATCATGTACTTCTCACTTATCTCCTCGTTCGCTCTCGTCGTTATCATTGCAGACCTCAGCAACGCTGTTCCTGTCTCCACTACGGTTCGTATCTGTCTAAATATAGTGATAATGAATTTCTCTGATTGCTTGATGTACAGATCGTCGCCCGTAATGCAGAACCTGAAACTGCAGTCAAAAGATCACTGATTGATCTGGACAATTCTATCAATGCTCCAGTCGACGTGGACCTTTCTTCCTTGTGCTTGGGGGTAGCTGTCTGCAATCCCGTTTCGGTGGTAAAGGGTAGTAGTAATTAGGATTGCATGGTGGATCCAGTGGTTGTGGTTTGTTGATAAGAACGAGGAAAGAGGGGCGGGTGGGGAGATATAATTGGAACTGGAGGGGGACATGGATGAACGTCAAAGATGAGAGCCGGCGATTGGACTGGAATCTTTTAGGAAAAGAAATTTTTATTGATGCAGAAGTTTTAATTTTAATGTACTGTCATATTCTTCGATAAAAGGTGTTTCATTTCATGCTAGTTTATTTAAATTGCAGTGATCGAAGATACAATAATGTGACATGATTTGAAATAGAAACGAAAACTTCTCACATTCGCCGCGACCTGTATATCCGTAACCTTGAATTCTTCCCTCACTAAGAACGAAAATCTAAAAATCAATAGAATATGTTTATTCGTATTTCCATAGGTATTATGAGGTCCGCAGAGAGGGAAAAGTGATATGTCTGACAATGAGTCGGAACAAATCTAGACCTACGAATTCAAAGAACCTAATTCAATGGAGGGAAATGCGAATATGTACTGATTTAAATAAATTATCAATTCCTTTGCATAAAATCTACATAAACATTAAAATGGTTCAGAACTATCTAGTAATTTTCCTTCGCAGCATCTCTCATCTATGCCAAGTCTAAAGTCATGAAACTTAGATGGCAGTAACCTTAACCTGAACACCATCTCTAGGTCTCAACACTAATCTCCACATCTTCAAGTCCTCCGGATTCTCCACACTCTCATCGCGCTCAAATTTGTACATACTCAACAAACAACACAACAGAACCTTCATTTCCGTCTCTGCAAACTTACGTCCAATACACCCTCTTGGCCCTTGGAGGAAAGTCATGAAAGCATTGGCCGTGAACGAAGCTGGTAATTTGTCCCAACGATCTGGGTCAAAAACATCGGCAGTGGGGCCCCAGTACATAGGAAGATGATTGATAGCATTGGCGAGAACATATATGACCGTGCCACCTGGGACCGTGTATGGACCCAGTTTATCTTCATTTATAGATTGGCGAACCGTCATTGGAATGGGTGGAATGTAGCGAAGTGATTCGCGGCAGACGTTGTCGAGGTATGGCAGGAGATCCGCATCTGTCTTTTCCACTTTATCTTCATAGCGGGATTCTTGATCAAAGAGGAAGGGCATATGCTCGCGGATTTCGGTTCGGAGTCTGTCTTGAATTTCGGGATGAGTTGAGAGTAGATGAACTGTCCACGCGACACCTGTTGCGGTCGTATCGTGGCCTGCACCAAGGAAGGTCTATAAGAATATTTGATTAGTCTTCCGTGAGTGTGAATAAAAGAGTAATAGGCCTGCTTACCATAATTTGATCGCGCATGGTCTCGAAAGAGAGGCCCTGTTCTCCAGCCTCCTTCATCTTCAAGTTATCTTTGGCAATCAAGGCAATAATATCCTTATGGTTGGTCCTCTGCGTGGCTTGTTCTTGCTTCTCGTTGATAATATCCGTTGAAGTCTTAAGGATAATGTTACGTGAAGCCTCCATGTCGCGGTTCATCTTGGCAGGAAGCATCTTGGTAGCTGGGATAAAAGCCTGAAGACCATGCAAAATACGGGATCCAATATCAAATGCAAAGACAAGTCGGTAAGCCTCACGAATTGGGGTTTCTGGGTTTTCAAGAGAGTTGATATCGACACCGAAGCCCGCTGAACCGATGATATCAAGGGTGGTGCGGTTCAACCACTCCAATACCTCAAAGGACTTGGTCTTCACAGCGTCGACTTCCATTTCTTCCTTCCATAGCTTGGTGAGAAGCAATGACTTTTTCCAGAAAACTGGATAGAGAGCTCGAATTGATTGAATAGAGAAACCGGGTGCTAAGGACTTTCGTTGATGTACGTGCTCAGCTCCTTCGGCTAGAAGAACACCTTCTCCAAGAATTCTGACCATCCACAACTTTGCACGAACTGGTTTTGGGTAGTTGTAAGGATTTCTAGTTGTCATCTGCGGTTTTCAAATTAGATCATGAAGTAGAGTTGGAACTTTAGGTTTAATTGAGTCTTACCTGTTTGATCGCATCATCATCTGCGACTGCAAGACGCTCAGCTCCAAATGGAAAGAAGTATCTAATGATTGGGCCATGGACTTGATGCCATTTGCGCTGTGGGACACCGCACTCATTCGTGATAATCTCATAAAATTGGCCCCAGAGAGGGAAGCCAGGGACTGTAGGAATATGTCTGAGTTCGGAGATATAAAATGGGAAGATGTAACTGAGATAAAAGACATATGAGGGTACAAAAACCCCAAAGACAACTGAAAGGGAGTATAGGGTGCTCCAAGGGGAGTTTTTTGCTATCAGCAGGGCGATTAATGTCGCTGCCCCGGAAAGGGAGACGAATGAAACTTGGATAGCCATGTTGTTTCCCAAGTTGTTGAAGTGAAAAAAGAATTCAAGCAACAAGATAGAAAAACTGCAGTAATGAAGGAAGCTCGAATACTAGTCAGAGTCTTAATCCATCTGTATATGTGGATCATAAATCTTAAAACTATTTGACATTTTTGAGCCAGAAAACTGGATGATATTGATCTCGAAGATCATCACTTCCGGCTTCACAATGTCCCTAGGGTGCTCCACAATATCACAGCTACGCCATTTAAAAATGTATCGACTTTCCAAATGATTTTTCCAAATAACCAATACTTTGCACTGCCACGTCAAATAATACAAGCACGGCAAGTGGCCATGCTTTTTTAACATGCATTGCTTGCTGGTAGGGAAATTGCTGAGCGGATCTAGAGTTCTCGAAGGGGGTGTGTATGAAGTACCGGAGATATTGAACTGATTGGATTCGACTCAAAAAACTTAACTGAATTGAGTTTTTTGACATTCATTCTGGAAGAAATTCCGAAGAATACATGAAACAGCTGAACCGCTCAGAAGAATCGGATTAGTTATCGTATGATTTGTATCCAGCGCAGTGATTGATCTACAGGCACTAGTGGGCCCCTTAGCGTAAGTGGATCCCCGTAGCCGAATCGGATATTTCTGATCCTACCAAACGATCTTTTCGAGCCATCAAGATCCAAGATAGGCGAAAAGGTACCCGCAATGGCTTTGACACGAGCTGACGATCTTCGAAAGAACCTTGCGTTACATCACTTATCAATGACTCAAATTAGACCTAGTGCACGTACCCTGGATATATTCTTCCGACCGCGTATTTCTCGTGTACACCACCAGTAAAGTACTAGTGCTACTGATACGTGCGACACTGCAACGTTCCGGAATGCTGATATCCCAAAACAGTCGTTAGGCTCACTGGTGTTCCTTATCGCAGACAATTAATCATGGCTAGACCTGACAATGAAGACTTGGTGAGCGACTGGGCCCAGTCGCTTCACGAACCTGCGGACCCCCCTAGGATTGAGAATAGCTGTCAAGTACTCAGCTCCCCAATGTTACCTCGTAGCGTTATTTTGGTTAAGATCATCGGTACTAGTCTTGATTGCGATCTTCCATGCTAGCTCGTATCATTTGTTTTCCAATCTAATATTTGGAAAAGGCACATTTCGACTGGGATGATTAAGGTAACTTTTCTCTGAACAAAAACTAAGATATAATTGTTGACCCCTACACTACTAGATATCATCTTGGACATCAGAATCAAATCCCCATTCTACCTCATAATTTTTCTTTTCGAAGAGTACAGCATCAGCAAATATGTCAAGCAGTACCGTTCTCTTACCACTCAATGCATACGGGGCTGTGAAGTTTTCGCCATGGGAGGCCTTTGACAAACTATGGACATTCGTGGCAGGATATCCTGCTGAAGACTTCCAATTCATTCCTGGGGAGACTCCAATGGCCACACTGAGAGAAGCTCTTGGTACCGTAGTACTTTACTATGCAGTTATTTTTGGTGGCCAAGCAGTTATGAAAAGCCGTCCAGCGTATAAGCTGAATGGTTTGTTTATGGCACACAACTTGATGTTGACTGTCGTAAGCGCTTCATTGCTTATACTGTTTGCGCAGCAGCTCATTCCAAGTCTTTGGAAGTATGGCCTGTACGATGGTATTTGTGGAGGAAGTGGATGGACTAAGCCCTTGGTTACTTTATACTATGTAAGTTGTCGATGTCGGGATTTGAATGAGAAGCTATACTGACCAAGACAAACAGTTGAACTACATCACCAAATACGTGGAGTTGCTTGATACCGTCTTCCTGGTCCTCAAGAAGAAACCTTTAAGTAAGTCAATATGCCGATACATACTCTCAACAGTACTAATTGTTACATTAGCTTTCCTTCATTGCTACCATCACCCAGCAACAGCTCTCTTGTGTTATACTCAACTTGTCGGACACACCCCAGTATCCTGGGTACCAATCACTCTGAATTTATTTGTTCACGTCGTCATGTATTGGTACTACTTCCAGAGTGCACGTGGAATTCGTATCACCTGGAAAGAGTGGATCACTCGTCTTCAAATCGGACAATTTCTCATTGATCTTGTCGCAGTTTATGTGAGTTTGACCATCTCTTTAAATGCGAGCTATTACTTATTCTTTGCGTAGTTTGCCTCATGGAACTACTGGACTAGTACCTATCACAAGTCTCTTCCTCACGTTGGATCATGTGCTGGTGAGCCATATGCTGCCGTCGCTGGGTGCACGATCCTCAGCTCATATCTTGTCCTCTTCATCTCTTTCTACCTCGCTACGTACAAGACAACCGTGAAGAGGACCACAATCAAACCTCAAGATGTTAAGAGCGGAGGAAAGTCATAATCACTTATGGTTCGAGGTACCTAGCTATTGCCTGAAAATTTATATCCTTTGGGGTGTCAGGGTAGGGAGCAAATTTAGAAGTATTTAGGAGACAGATTAGAGAAGCAGCCCAAATCGGAGTTGGAGAAGACACTTTGTATGTAGTGCGGTCTGTTTGATAAGATAATGTATTTTTCCTTTCATGGGGGTTTTAAATTTACAGGTAGAATAGAAATTGTAATTGGTAGAATTTCATATCCGAGTCACATAAAGAACAGACTCTGTCCGTCGAATGTTACTTCTTTAGATATAATAATTGCACCCGTTGACACAAATTAAGTCCGCAATCGAGCACACTATTTCTGTTTAATTCAACGCAAAAAGATATTCCCAAGTCCAAGCTGTCAAGATAGGAGCGGATAACTATTTCCCTGGCACTAACTTTGAAAATTGCCAACTTTCAAACCATTTTCAGCCCTAAATCGTGGCAACTATACGTGTAGACCCTCTGTGGGGCCAATATTCTATTCGGACCTTTGCGTTGAGTTTCTTTTATCAATTCCATATCCCGTATGCAGATCTCCATATTACCAATCGAGGTGGGTTCATTGCGTAAACTGGAGAACTTGGTCATGCCTCTTTCAGGACTACTCTTATGTACGAGCTAAGAAGCTAAGAGCAAGGTCTCAGCCGTCTCAATCTTTGTCGTGCATGCAATCAACCTGGCAAAGAAGATCGTCGATAGTAGGAGTTTTATGGAAAATTCATGCAAGAAAGATCCACTACCCACGCGAAGTCGCCGTGCTTGGATGATTGGCGAGACAAATATTGAATCTTTGAGCGCCATCTACGACATGGATGTAAAGTTCCGGCCAATTTTTGACAGTTGCAGTTTTGGCGGTGAACCCGAGTATTCCCAGCGCTGAGAGAAAGATTTCATCCATTCTTCATCCATTTTATGATCTCATAATTTTTCCACATGTCAATTCTTCTGATAGCATCTTCTTGCATCAAAAAACGCTCTACCTTCAGTCCAGTTCTCACCAACAATTTTTAATATGGAAAACTTCACAGGCAGTGGTGCTGGAACCACGCACCTATACACGGATTCTACTACTCAACATCACTTCCCAAGACAAACTCTTCTCTTAGCCATCACCACATACCTTCTCCACATTCTTTTACAATGGCTACATTACCTCTGTACATGGTCCACTGTATGGAAGCTCTCTTTCTTCCTCCTCGCGATAGGAAATCTTAAGAACTTGCCATTGATGTGGACTCTACGTATCGTCAATGCCTTTCGATTCTGTATGCGATCACAGCGCCCAAAAGTCAAGTGTGGACCAAACCACATTTTCCAGCCTCTAATCACGGAATCTTATTGTCCCTTGATGGAAATTGACTTCAATATTCACAGTAGGTTACATGTGTTATCTTCGAAACTGGATAGCTACTGACATGCACAGAATCCAACAGTTCTTACTTTTCCGATGTCGATGTGGCTCGAACACACTTGTTCTGCACGCTATTTACCCAAGGAATCGAACAGATGAGAGGTGGAACGTCAGCAATTAATGGATCGAAGGATCCTATATTCGGTATTGCTTTGGGGGCAGTAAATTGCCATTTTAAGAAAGAACTCAAGCCCTACGAACACTATGAGATGTGGACAAGAGTCGTATCGTGGGACGAGAAATGGATATGGCTCGTCACTCATTTCGTACGAAAGGATGCTACGAGACCAAAATCATACAGCCTTTATCCACAACAGACAACGGAGGCCCTAGACACAAAGAGCAAGGACTTGGACCCAAGAGCTGGCGTCGTGGCATCTGCTCTCAGCAAATGTGTTTTCAAGCAAGGGCGCAAAACGGTCAGTCCCGAATTCATGTTGAGGGCTTCTGGTCTACTACCAGATTCTCTTTTGAATGATGAGTTGGATATACAATTGGGTGCAGAGATGAAAGCAAGTGGTGCTGAAGAATGGACAAGTGCGAAGATTGAGGAAGAGAGATTGAGAGGACAGAAAATCGCAAACACTTTGTCTGTGGGAAGCCAGTTTGATCTAGAGGAAGCATTCACAGGCGAAGCCGAAGCTCTGGGTAGACATATTGATGGCGCAGGTATTGTTGGTGTCGTCTCTACTCTTGCTCAACTGGCTGGGCTGAAGAAGAAACAAATCCTGTGAGCAGTCAACGTCTGGTCCACTTATTCTGCAAAGGAGGATCCAAAAACCTCAGTATATACTATAATTTTACTTCATGGCAAATAGATTTCAGAAAATACAAATAATATACCCCTCCCTCCCCCAATTGAGTCAAAATAACTTTATTTTTACACACTGAACATAATTTATCCGTCTTCCATGCCTGCATGCAAAATAAAAGGTAGTAACAGTTGGCCTATCGGCTATAGAAAAGATTGGTGCGGGATCTAAGTAGCCTAAAATGCTTAGCTAAATTGCCACGGATGAGTATCTCTAGTAAAGATCTACGAAAAGACTTCTCTAAGCCTTCTTCCATTGCGACTTGTGCATGTCACTAGTGATTAGCTTGGATATTTTTCATGTTTTAACCATTCATCGGCAAATTCTATCCGTAGCTAATCGCCCACTTACGACATACCACGACATTTAGTCCAACAAAATCAAAATGAAGTAAACAGAAAATTGGAACAATTTTTGAGTTGAAATAATCTTCGCAACAATATCACAAAATACTGCTCGTGAAATGCAATCATGTTAAGTTTTGATGATGGAACGAGGCGTTCCACTGAAACGACAGTACCAAATTCGGATTTAGCAAAGGAACTTGACGATTCACGCCCAACTTTCCATCCTGGCAACCTTTCACCTGAAACTTCGGATGATAAAGGCAAGTTCTCGTTTCCACATTCAACAGGAGCGATTGAAAATCAATCATTTCGCGACCAAAAGACTTCCGAGAATGCATTGAATGCCAACATAAACGGGGAGGCAAGCTCCCTGCACCCCCCGAGAGAAAACATTGCAAGGTCGTTTCGAGATATGGGTATCTGGCCGAGGGATTGGCAAAAGAATAAACAAGCGATAGACAATACGACTCAATTACAGCTCTTGGAGAATCAAGCTAGAGGATCCAACGGACAGTCAGTCCCGGGCTGCAACAAATTCCCTATAGCAGAGAGTGTGAATATTGGAGGCAAAGCTGGACAACTAAAGGGAAACGAGCCCAGGAGATCATGCGACTCACTACGCGACATCAAGGAGATATTGAGAGATATCAATTTCAATTCGCGTCCCAATACCCAAGGAAGCGCACAAACTACTTGTGATCTTTCCGCGTTCGAAACCATTTCCGAATTCCGAAAACCATCACTCGAAGACCAAGACTCTCGAACGCCACTAAACAGAGGCGCGGAGTTACGAACCTCACGTGAAAATGAAACCACCAAGACGCGAAATGATACGGTTTTGAACGAACTCTTTGCAGATATAATCTCATCTGCGGAGCCATCAATTCGACATTTAGCATCGCAAAAAACCGCCGGCGAAGCAGCAGCTAGTATCAATAAACCGAAACGTTTATCGACTCCTATAGAAGAGCAAAGACATCCTGGAAAAGTGGGATTATGGAGTGATAAATTCATGAAGAACATCGATGAAATTGTCGATTGGGATGCTGCACAGCCAAGCACCATATCATTAGCCTCCAAGAGCGAAGCGGATGCATTTGCCGCTCGCGGAAACGACGACAATGTTGTCATTTCGGAAGAACCGCAGGAACTCGAAGTTGTGCATCCAGGCGCTATTGCTCTGACTTTTCTCATGGTTGGACTGTGTTTATCGGTCTTCTTAATTTCGTTGGATCGGACGATTGTCACTACTGTATGCACTCATTATTGTTTTTCCGCTTGTACGCATACTTGATACTAACACCATCCCAGGCAATTCCGTATATTAGCGGAGAGTTCCAGTCGTACGCAGATGTCGGTTGGTACGGAAGTGCATATCTACTTACGGCATGCGCATTTCAACCCTTGTATGGGAAGATTTTCACCCTGTTTAGTATCAAATGGTCATATCTAGCCGCAAACACTTTGTTTGAGATAGGATCATTGATTTGTGGAATAGCCCCAAATTCCGTGACATTGATTATAGGTCGAGCTATTGCTGGTGTGGGGAGTGCGGGTATCTTGACCGGCTCTTTTGTGGTTGTGGCTCATAGTGTGCCGATGCATAAACGTCCGGTTTTCACGGCCGCGGTGGGTTTGATGTAAGTACCACAGGTTCTCTTGTAATTCCTGATCTAATTGAAATATAGGTTTGGAGTAGGAGCAACCGTGGGACCATTATTAGGCGGTGTTTTCACTGATCTCGTCACATGGAGATGGTGTTTCTATTTCAATCTTCCGGTTGGAGGTGCGACTATCTTGGCCATGATTCTATTCTTCAATCCCAAGAATAACATGAACACACGACGATCATTCGGCTCCCGAGTTCTGGAGCTGGATATTATTGGAAATATTCTCTTGCTTGGTGCTTGCGTTATGCTATTCATAGCTCTTCAATACACTGAAGTGGTAAGTGCTCTTTCGGCTAATAATTTGATGTTTTGAAGATGTCACATACTGACTGTCCATTAGGGAGACGCTTGGTCCAACTCAAAAGTTATTGGACTTCTCGTCGGCTTCGGCGTAACTGTTGTTGTTTTTGGATTTTGGCTTTGGTGGAGAGGCGACAAAGCCCTAATTCCACTTGACATTCTCCGACAGCGCAGCGTATTAGCGAGCTGCCTCTTCTCATTCTTCATCTACTCGGCCTTGATTCTTCACAGCTACTACCTACCACAATGGTTTCAGGCCGTCAAGAATACCTCTGCCATCACATCCGGTGTTGATATGATCCCCTATGTCGTCTGCAATGCTGTCTTTTCCCTCTTGGCTGGTATTATCGTCTCGAAGTCGGGATACTTTACACCTCCCACCGTCGTCGGCACAGCCATTGCCACGATCGGCTGTGGACTAATCAGTACTCTCAATGTCAACACCACCTCACCTCAATGGATTGGCTACGAAATTCTCAGTGCAGCCGGTTTCGGACTTGCAATCCAGCAAGGATTTACCGCCGTCCAAACCGTATTACCTCTAGAGAAAATTCCCATCGGTACCGCTGCGGTCGTCGCATCACAGTCTTTGGGTGGTGCTATTTTTGTTTCTGTCGGCAACAACATTCTCCAGAATCAACTAAAATCCTATTCGACCAACGGCCAACTGCCGGGAGTTGACATTCAAGCCGTCTTGGATGCAGGTGCCACGGGGTTAAGATCCGTCGTCGATGCAGATCAATTACCTGCACTCTTAGGAGCATATAACGAGGCGTTACAGAAAGTTTTCCTTGTTGCGATTCCCATGACTGGGTTGGCGTTTTTATCTTCTTTGTTTTTGGAATGGAAGAGTGTCAAAGCTCAGAAGCCTGTTGCGGAAGGAGTTTGAGATATTTTCTTTTCATTTAGGATCACTTCGGAAAGTGAATAATATGTATACACAATACTTTAGGACATAATGAAATTTAACCACTCACGTATTTAAACAGAAATTCAAAATGCCAAAGCAGGCTAGCTTGAGGCAGTATTTATTGGAAATCGGTTTCTTGAACCTTTGTCGCCGTCAAACCAATGTAACTAATCGGATATGCACCACGCCATTTTGGTATCCCCATCTAATATTACTACTGTATATTCTGCCCATCAAGTTATCTCCTCCACAGGTCGCAATGCACGTTTCCACCTCCAAAACCTCACAACCCAGTGGTTTCAGTACCTAAAATCGCCCGTCTATGTCAATTCGTCCCATTTTTTCTAAACAACTAGCTCGCCTCCCAGGATATCAACCAAGTTTCTACCTATGTCCAAGGCTTGTATTTCCATCCTCATAACGCTTTCCATCCATCTGAACGAAACGCTTCGATTATATTCTTAACGGAGGCCGTTCTTCTTTTCCTTCCTCACCGAATCAGGTATTCGAATCATGGTGTAGTAAGATTCCTGTGCTTGGAGAAATGAAGGTAGGGATGGAGATGTAGCAGAAAGAAATCAGTAATGAAGAGATACTGCAGGAGAGTTTGGCCTAGACTTTTCTATAGATTTAATGAGGAGATTTTAGCAGGGAATGGGTGTTGAGCGGCCATATGACTTGGGGGTGTTTCAAATTTGAAAATGAGAGAAGCGTCGAGTTATGTTTGGTGATCTAGACCTCGAAGTGGCGCGGTTGGGTATATATGTTATGTTGGTGGATGGATAGGATATATGGGTGAAGAGTATGTTTACTACAAGGAGTTTTGGTAGAGTAAGTGGGTATCAATATGCATTGTAGTGCAGAAACTGAGGTATATGAGGTGGATGAGGTGGATGAGTGAGAGAAAGATGAAGACGGCGGGGTGGGCTTGGATGAGATCGGAGAGGAATCGTTTATGTTGTGCTGCGCAAGATATATTGGATATGAAGATATTTTTTGAAGAAGTGAACAATGAACATGTGGCTCTGTGTTTAAACTTTAGTGATATCTCCAGAAAGAACAGTATTGGTAATGATAAACCGGACGATATCGCTTTGCATCCAATGTCTTGTGATTATTTTGCTTGGAATGAGTTCAAGTGCAACACGCAATATATACTAACATCAACAACACAATTTGATGTATATCCGTGGTCTCAAGGTTTCTTCTTTTCCTTTCGGTAATATGTCTAGAAGACTCTCGATACTATACTTTGGTAAGATGGCCTATATCCTCTTGATTTGCCATCTATCTGAGCCAGGTGCACATACGATGCTTCCATTGACATTGAAATTAATGGTGCAAGTAGCCAGCCATTGTTGGGGATATTGTCAGAATGAAGACGTAATGATCAAGCAAGTCAAGTAACTCGAGTTTCAGGGATAAATCTTCATATCCGAATCATGAGGGTAAAGTGCTGACATGAAATGTGTTTAGAAGAAGGTACGCATGTAGAACTTGTTTGACTGGTGATTTTCATGATCAGTGAGTGTATCGGATCAATTGTATGTTGGAAGACTGGCTATTTTTGTCGATTGTTTGTAGTCTTACAACTTTATTAGGTAATAGTGAATTATTGAAGGAAGAACTGACAGCTCACGATACAGAACAGAATAGTCGAAATGAGAGGAGAAGAGAAGTTTCAACGAAAATTTCATACAAAAATTCGACCAGCATTCGGTGCAGCCATTAATGATTAATCAGAGTATCAGGGTACTGAAACTTGTATGACAAGAAAGATGTCCAAGAAATGATCAGAAACTTCTCGCGCCAGATGTCCCAAATGGAAATGGAGATGAGATCTACACTGGGTGCATTGGAGTAGGTTGCAAAGTTATCTTTTTGGATTCAATTGTCACCTTTAGATGGTGTTCACTCCTCTGATATAGAAACCTCAATTTTTTACAACCAATTGTTAGAACCTTAAGATTAAATAATCACAATTTGGCGGGTATCTACTGCGAGCCTCGCTTATTCAAATGTCCTGGTCTTCTATATCTCTACTTTTCTTGCTATCTGTGGGTTTCTTTGGGATTTATGTTCAAGTCAAGTTCGATCTAGTTGGTGCATCAAGTAAAGGCTGCTCGTCGTAAACATAACTGCAATCACAGAGCCACAATGTGGAGAGATTGGTGTATTGATGACATCGACAAATGGTTCATGGGCACATAAATACTGGTGAAAGGTTGCTTTTTTCCAGGTTATATTGGCAATGGATACCTAGTATATATAAGACGATTGATGGAATGAGAACTAGTAAAGTACTAGCTATTTATTGAAGACAGGTTTTTTCTCAGGAATGAATTATAGATTGATATGAATATAAATTGAGCTTCTGATTCCTTTCGTGCGATTCAACCACAGAATAAATATGGAGTGAAGTGCCCATCTCTGGAGCTAAAACGAATATCTGGACTTCCTCTCTTCCTACACAATTCTACGACTTTTATCACATTGAAAGATGATGGGACAAACCTAACCGTGCTTTCAGCTCTATTTAAGATTTTGTATACTTGTTGAGGATGCTAGGAATGATATTCACTGAAGATAAGTCTAGTATTCTGTGGTTCATCGTCGGAGCCTTGAAAATCGGAAAGTTTGGTGTAAGATAGATGTAACATGAAGCTACACCACCATGATGACTTCAATATAGATCCAACCAAGGAGTTTGTCCAATTGGCTTCAGACTATTCATAAGTATCAAACGACTAATTCAATCACAAATTCTCTACATGTAATTCTAAGACAGTACAGCAGTTTGCGTGAATCAAACCCAATGGGACTTACTCGGACGTCATATATCCCATATTGAGACCTTTCTTGCTGCCGTATAACACCACATAAGTAGTCGTGAATAACCACTAGTCTAGTGACTACTGCAAAGACATCCCCCCCAAAACATATTTAAGTCCCTCTCCTCAACACAAACCCTCGCAAACCATCATCTTCATAACATCGTCTTCATAACATCATCTTCACAACATCATCTTCATAATATCGTCTTCACAACAAAAGATACATCCAACAATCCGAATAAATCATATCACATGTCTCGCGAAGAACATCCCACACTCCGCAAGGTATTTAACACAACCTTCGCACTTTCACAAGCAATCACCAAAAATATGTCATCATCAGAACCTCTCCCCAGCTGCTCAAATACATCTTCAGTTCCAGCGGTAGTTGCAGTTCCAACAACAGGTCCAGCAACAAAGCTCCTCTCCAAACTCTTCAAAGAAATGGATGAACAAAGAACCTCGCAACCTATCGATTCTTCCTACATCCTTCTTCCCAATCCGCATCGTTCCCAAACGGAATCTCGAGCTAGAGCCAGAATCCCCACATCACCAGTCTCGGTGAATTCTCCCAATACCTCACATCAATCGCCTACGTCTTCAACGTGCCTTGCTCATACATCGGGGTTTTCACCTACATTTCAATATTCACGTGAGCATGCCGATTCTATCGAAAATTTGGAGGAACTGGCCTCTAGGTTTAAGGAAATTCAAACCACGAATAGGAAATTCATCACTTCGGATCCAAAGGTTATCTCCAATTCTCTTCCGAATCCTAGGCTGAGATCATTCTCTAACTTCAGTGCTTCCTTGGGAGGTTTATATGAGGAAGAGTTTGAAGATGCGTTGAATAGGAAAAAGAAAAAGTTTGATGAAAACTTTGGGATGATGGGTAGGGATATGAGACAGATGATTCCCAAGTTGGTTTCTGTTCCTGGTGCCGGTGGTAGAAAAGTGGATAGGAAGGGCAAAGGGAAGGCCACATCGGATAACGATCAAGAGGAAGAAGATGCGATCGAAATTCTTCAAGAATTATTTGCGGAGTTGGAGGATAAAGAGAGAGATGCTAGTGAGGATGTGTGGAAGAGTGCTCAGGAGTTTATTGGTGATGATGAGAAGGATATTACTGAGAAGACAAACGAGTGCAAGGGAAAGGCCAAGGAAAATGTCGAGGAAAGCGATGTCATTATGAGCGTTCAAGACGAAAAGATGGAAGCCAAAGATACGGGCCTTGGTCTAATAATGTCTCAGGAAATCAGCATCTGCGACCAAGAAACGGAGGACAATGGTGATGAGCATCGAGGTGATCAGATTATTGATGAGAACGAGGAGCACAACGCACAACTACTGGTACAACCGAAATCCGAGAGCGGATTCGAGGTCACGAAATTCGAAGGATTCGGCCAACAAGGCGAGGAAAACTGGACAAAATCTGAGCACGACGTTCAAAAAAGCCGGAGTGATACGAAAATACAGAAGAACGACGACACGGCACAGAAAGTTGATGCGAAGGTCGAAGACAAAATACCCGCTCACTGCTCCCCTCCAACTAGCAAAGCTCCTTCCATTGCCCCATCCAGTTCCGGTTCTAGTACCAATACTAGTACAGATGATGATGATATGCAAAAAGAGGTTCCAGAAGTAGAGCTGGCGGCTTGGGCTACTGGGGTTATGGTTACGGGGTTGTGGATGATTGAGAGGAAGACGAGACCTTCTTAGGTGATTGTGGGGATGGCGATGATGGGTTTGGGGTGGAAGAGGAAAGGAGAGGATGTAATAGGCTGGGGTGTGATGAGATGCGATGAAATTTGCGGTGATTTTAGGTCTCCAGTATATGTGGTATATCGACTTTTGTTTTTTTACTTTAGCTCTTGAGATGCTTCGTGAGTTGGTTACGTAATTAGGTAGTTGGGTGGTTGTGAAGTGCAAGGTATACGAAATGTACAAAATACAAATATATCTAGATAACAATTACTGGTATATCAAGTAAGTCAACTACCCTACTTATGGACCACCCTTTTACACCAAAAACAGTCATTTTTCATTTTTATAACTTTTTAATTAATCGATGAAATTGAATGAAATTTTAAATACAGATTCTTTATATAGTTATTAGCTCAGGTACAGATTTTCAGATTTTTCACAATTTTATATTAAAAGTTATTAAAGCCTGAAATATAAGATTTTCATTTTGTATATGATTTATAACGTGGTTTATCAGTGCGTCGCGCATATCAGTGCCTTGCGCACTTCTTCACTATTTTGCAACTCTTCAATTCAACACGCGTTTAATCAACAATCAACAATGAATAACACTTCAAAAGAAGCTCGGATTATCTTAGCTATTGAAGCTATTAATAAATCAAAAAAAAATGAGTCGCCGGAGTGCTGCTAAACTCTACAATGTCCCTGAGACAACACTTCGGAATCGAATGAACGGTTTAACCCTGCTACAGGAATGTCGACCACCAACTCAAAAATTAACTAAATTAGAAGAAGAAGTGATTCTTCAATATATCCTCGATATAGATATATGAGGATTTGCCCCTCGATTGAGTGATGTGAAAGATATAGCGAATGATATTCTCGATACTTGTAGAGCATACTATGTTGAAAAGCTTTAGACGTATCGATTCGTACAACGCCGGCCAGAATTAAAGATGCATTTTAATTGTGTTTATGATTTCCAAAGAGCTCTTTGCGAAGATCCAAAGCTTATTGAAGAGTGGTTTCGATTAATATCGAATATACAGGCGAAATACGGTATTCTCGATTGCGATTTCTACAATTTCGATGAAACAGGCTTTATGATGGGTATTATATGCCCTGGGATGGTTGTAACTAATACTGAACGATATGACAGAAACAAAGCAATATAGCTAGGTAATCGAGAATGGGCTACAGCGATTGTATGCATCAATGGTATAGGAGAAAGCATTCCTCCATTTTTAGTGGTTAAGGGCAAAAATCACCTCTCAAGTTGGTATACTGAGAGTGATCTCCTACTTGATTGGGTGATTAAAGTCATTAATAATAGATGAACGAATAATGAGATAGGTTTAGAGTGGATTAAACACTTCGATAAGCATATTATTGCTCGAAAACAAGGTGATTATCGAATGCTAGTATTAGACGGACACGAAAGCCACGAATCGATTGCATTTCAAGAATATTACAAAGAACACAATATTATAACTCTTTCATTACCTTCTCATTCTTTGTATATTATTCAACTATTCAATGTCGAATGTTTTAGTGTTTTAAAACGAATGTATGGTCAACAAATTGAGGGATATATTAAGGCTCATATCAACTATATCACCAAGGTCGAATTCCTTATAGCCTTCAAAGCAGTATACCTACAATCAATAACTGTTCAAAATGGATTATCTGGATTCCGCGGAGCTGGATTAATACCCTTTGATCCTTAAGCTGTTATTTCTAAGCTAGATATCAAATTACGAACATCTACGCTTACCAGATCCTCTTCTGTAGAGCTCGATCCTTGGGTTTCTCAAACATCTCACAACTCGAACAATGCTCTTTTGTAATCAACCTTAGTTAAAAATCGAATTGCACAATATCAAGGAAGCTTTCCTATATCTATATTTGAAACAATTACAGCTTTAGCTAAGGGTACAGAGATATTAGCTTATGAGATGACACTTATAAGTGCTGAGATTCGTACTCTTCGAAAAGCAAATGAGGTATTGAGTAAATGTTGTAAAACTAAAAAGAGTCGAATTCGTCAAGGAGGAACATTTAGTATACAAGATGGATATGATATTATATTACAGACCGATGTAGATAATCAGATTCGACACAACGAATGCTTTAAGAGGGGTAGTTCAAATAGGGAATAATCAACTTTACGTCGTTGTGGCTTTTGTGGTAAAAC